CACGTGACCACATTCGCGCGTGCCAAGCAGTGTACTCATTACTAACCATTTCCAACGGTCACCAATAGGGTGCCACGGTGGCTATGAGATGTTAACTACCTCGCCTGGTATACAGGAGGTCGTGGGTTCGATCCCGACCCTGACACCTGCTGTATATTTGGAGTTTGCGTGTCTCTCTCTCTCATCATCATCATCACGGTGGCTAGGAGATATTAACTACCTCGCCTGGTATACAGGAGGTCGTGGGTTCGATCCCGACCCTGACACCTGCTGCTGTATATTTGGAGTTTGCGTGTCTCTCTCTCTCATCATCATCATCATCACGGTGGCTAGGAGATATTAACTACCTCGCCTGGTATGCAGGAGGTCGTGGGTTCGATCACGACCCTGACGCCTGCTGCTGTATATTTGGAGTTTGCGTCTCTCTCTCCGTGGTCGCTTGGATTTGTCTCCAGGTCCTCCGAGGTATTCCCGACCCATTTAGAATCACGTGTGTCTGAAAAAGAGCTATAGGCCTCAGTAGGCCTTACCTGGGTAAAATTAAAAAAAAAATGTTCATAGTATTTATCGGGTATGGTTTAAGGGCGCTGACCTGGGGGTACATCCAGACAAATTAAACCACACCGAATATTAATAACGTCAATTTCACAACATCCAGAATAACTTTAATAATCGTTCATGAAAATTGTGATGAGGCTCAGAAGGTGATTTTCTTTTTGACTTCACAGTAAAAGTGCAAGACAATGAGCTATATTCTAGAAATACACAATTTGCAAAGTTGTGGGAGACCGACATCGCGATAATCGCCGTCTCGCGAACTTAACATCGAATCCATACTCTTTGGTTCTTTCGGTAAAGTCACGTAGGTAGAAATCAAATTCAACAAATCACGACGTTTCGATCGCTTGTGTTGCGCTTGTGTTGCGATTGAAGCGTCGCGATTCGTTTAATTTTATTTTATTTCTACCTACGTGACTTTTACCCCCAAATGACCAAAGAGTGTGGATTCCTGCAGTCACGAAAGCTTCAAATCAAGATTTAACATCGAATCGTCAAGGATGACGAGGCGAATTGGAGACGCTCGCTCTGCAGTGCGGGTCTCTGCCGCCGCCTGGCGCTCGTCATCGTCGGGTCATTTTTTCACGGCGAGCCTCTCTGGCCATGCGCTTGTGAGGAAGGGCCCGTCGCCCGAAACGTCACCTATTGTACACTTCTCCTTTCGAGACCGCACAGTGTTATTCTTGACGGGACGCGTTTGGGGTTTTTTGTTGTTGTTGTTGTTGCGTTGGCTGCGGGTTTTGTCCGCCACTGCAAGTACCGCTTTTGCCAGAAGGTTCCATTTGGTAGCACCCAGAGGTACCCAGCACCCAAATTCTTATCTGGTGTCATCTTATCTTGAATTGAATCGATGTGTCGCCTTATCCGATGCGCTTCACACGGCGTTGACAGCGGTGCAACGCATGGATGTGTTAAACGGTGGCGACGAGGCGAACGAAATGGATGTGAGGAAGCAAATGGGGGGCGAATCTGTGATGCGTGAGTTCGGTTGAAGCGAAATCGATGGAAGTAAAACGATTAATGCATGGAGTGAGCGGGGGTTAAAGAGTGATAGCCATATGATGGGAATGTGAAGAGGGTAACAGGAACGGTGGCGGTTATTGAGGGGGAGGTTCAGGGGTCGTGGGGTGAGCTGGGAAACAACGATCGGTGAGTTTTGAGATGAGGAGCGGAGACTTGGTGAGCGAAGGTGACCGCTTAATGTGGAAGTTTGTTCCCGTGAAGGTGGTGGGTGAGTGGAGAGAGAGATATATATATAAAAGCGTGGGGACTTGACTTTTGAACCACTTGTATTGCTGCCATCAATGAAAGTGGTTCAAAATCTATTTATAGGGGTGTCTATAAATAGATCGCCGTACGAAACTTAATAATCGGTTTCACTCTTCTCAGATAATGAAACAGGAATTGTGTTAAGATGTTCAAACACCGGATAGAAACCTTTTTGCAAAGAATCAATTTTGCAGTAACCACGCGTATTTGTGGTGAACATACAAATCTGCTCTGCTAATTATATTCCCATTGACTTTGAAACTGATTGGCCTGCACCAGAGACGACCTTCTTCATGACCGAGTCACACAGCCAGTGTCAGACCTGCAGAGGACGCCAAAAGGCGATCAGCACAAAGACAACGCCACACGTATCAGAGCATTCATGGCTCGTGGTGAGCAGCTGTATCATCATCAGAGCATGTTTTGTTCACCACAAGGATGCGTGGTTAACGTAGACGCGATTCCTTGCAAAAGCTTAATATTTGGTGGGTTTTTTTTTGGTCGGTAAAGTCACGTATGTAGAAATGTCATGAAATTATAATAAAATTAATCAATCACGACGTTTCGACCGCAACACAAGCGACCCTCATCAGGTGTAAAAAAAAAACAAATCGACAACAACGCAACACATAGAGAGCGCCAAACTGCACGGAGGGAAATACAACAAGAAGATGAGAGACGAGAATTCAACAAACCTAAGAAAAAATTACGTGATGCACAATCAGTCAGGCCAACAACACAGACACTTACCTGACGGACCACGAATTTCAGAAGAGTGTTAAATTTCGAGTTCACCTCTGGGTTGGACATACCAGCATAGACAGAGTGAACACATACGAGGCAGAAATACATGTACATGTATGAGTAATTTATGCAGTCACGAAAACTTTAATTCTTTATTTAAATTTGGTGTTTGGACATCTGAACACCTCCTTACTCTTCGGTTCTTTCGGCAAAGTCCACGTAGGTATAAAAATGAAGCAAAATAACAAAAATTATATATCACGAGGTTTCTAACGCAGCACAAGCGGTCGTCCTCAGGTGGGAAAAAATAATTCAGCAGTGGAACCGCTGAACCAGCGAGAGAGCTGTTACAACAAGGTCATCTATACGTGACTTTACCGAAAGAACCAAAGAGTATGGATTCCTGCAGTCACGAAAGCTTCAAATCAAGATTTAACACCTCCTTTTTTTATTTTCAGAATTAGTGAAACCCATTCTTAGTTTTTATACTTTGACACTGGGGGAAAAGGTGCCATGAAAAAAGATCGCCTTTACGTGCGGTAGACGCGGATATTGACAATTGTAGAAATGTCAATCCCACATTTTAACAGACGGGGGCAGCATTGGGACACAACAACCCCATTCCTCCACCCACCCCCCTCCCCACTCTCCCATCAACCGATTGGCTTTGCAAGAGCAACGCTCTCACGCAGAGATCTGTGCAAGCGTGCAAACGGCGCACCGATTTTCACTTTTTGGGGCCTCGTCAGCAGAGTCAGCTTCTTGGAACGAATGCTGCTGGGTTTCCATTGCACAAGGGCACTCCGTCTAAACTACGGGGACCCATGATACAGCTGCTCACCCCGAACAATAAATGCTCTCATACGTGAATGATTGTCTTTGTGCTGTTCGCCTTTGGGCGTTGTTCTCTACTCTGACACCGGTGAGACTAGGCCCTAAAAAAGGCTGTCTCTGGTGCAAGCCAGTCCGTTTAAAAGACAATGCCAGATATTATTATTTAAGAGTCATGTTTTGTTTGCATGTTCACCACAAGTACTGTGTGTGGTTAATGCAGAATTTATTCCTTGTAAAATGTTTCTATTTGGTGTTTGAACATCTTAACACCTCCTGTTCTATTTCCAGAAATAATAAAACCTATTCTTCAATTTACATACTTTGACACTGGCAAAAAGGTCCCATGATATAGATCACCGTGCGTACGGTAGACGGGAATGATGTGCATGCAGAAAGTGTTCATTGCACGTCTCATCGTCTCATCTCATCTCAACCTTCTCCATTGCTCTCATGCAGTGTTCTTCATAATACATTTTTTGGGGTTAAATCGCATAAGTATAAATGTGTCGTAACCCTCCACCACCCGACACAGCCAGCAAGGTTTGTCACGTAAACAACGCGCCAATTAGTTACAACTCCAGCCCACCGGCGTGTTGGAGAGTAATTCCACAACATTTACAATTTGAGTAGTACGACGTTTCGCTGGCAATTACATCCAGCATCATCGGGCCATTTGCCAGAATTCCCCAAAACCTTTATTGTGAATAATATTGGTCGCGAAAGCCTTCGTGTTCAAATGCAGTGTCCTCTTGTTAGCCTACGGGGCCCTCTCTGGACAGCTGTCTCTGTGCGAGGACAAGGCGATATAACACCGGCCTGCAATTTGGCCATCGTTCCGTCAGTAGGAGGGGGCGGTGGCGATGTTGCAACTGGTCATTCAAATGAAGTAATTTGGAGAGTAATTTCTCAAACGCTACGATTGTATGTATGTTGAGTTTCTTTCGCGCCGTACGTAGCCAACCGTGCTCATCGGATTGGACCGTGACAGGAGTGCGTTTGGGATGTAATAAGGAGGAGGTTGTGATGGGTGGGACGCGTGGTGTGTAGGGTGGAGGAGGAGGATGGCTGGTCAGCGAGACGGACATTGGAGTGGCTGGCACACACAGGTCAATGGCCGTCTCGGTGACACAACATCACCAAACGCGCACACAGACAGTTAAAGAGAGAGAGAGCGATCCCATGTGTGTGGGGGGAGTGCTGATAGCGAGCACCATTTAGATAGCGAGCACCACACGAAGCACCTGGGTGGCCGAGACTCCCCGGCCCGGCCGCCTTTGTCTCCCCTAGAGGAGGCTCAAGACCGGTTCAGATCTTCGCCATCAATGTCCGGTCTCCGAGTTCGCATCGAAGTGCGCTTACCACTGTGCCACCGCTCCCCCCCCCCCCACACACTCGGGAGTCAAACACGCTCGGCTAGACGAGACTGCTAGCGTCTGGGTTGGGATTGGGAACAGAGGAGTGCAAACAGTGGCGGGGCAGCGGAGGGGAGCAGAGAGGGAGAGGGCAGGGAGAGTAGGTGGTGGGGGGGGGGATAAAGGGAGGAGGGGAGAGTGGAGGAGGAGTGGCGAGGTGAGAGGGGGAGGGGATCACTCTGCAGGAGGGGAGAGCGAGGAGGGCTCTCTGTGTGTGTGTGGGGGTAGGGAGAGCTCTGAACGCAGAGAGACTGCGGCGAGCGAGACACTGAGAGAGAGAGAGCCGGAGAGAAACTCTCTCCGATTCGGCTCAACGCAACTCCGTGCACCACGCGAGCCAGCAGCTCAATTCAGTTCAACCACGACCACCTCGACACCGCTCATCGCGACCGAATCTCGACGCCGTGCAACTCGACTCGACTCCGTGCAACGGGACGCAATTTGGACCTCAACTGAACGCAGCTCTGCGCGTCTGAAACCGGACTCAATGCGACTCGACTCAACGCAACTCTAAGCAACCTGACGCAACTAGGTATCGTTTAATGAGACTCCCCCCCCACCTCTCACTCCTCCTCAACTGGAAGCCACGGAACTCTGTCCAACCGCAACCAAAACTCGACTTTGACTCTCGACTCGACGCGATGCGACTCGCTTGAGATCGCCTTTCGCGGCCGCGCGCGACCGACGCGGCTACATGGAGTTACCCAGACGCGCCATCGCCACCATCATCATCATCGCCGCCACCACCATCACCACCTCCATCATCATCACCGCCGCCGCCACCACCACCGTCATCCCGAGCGCAACTATCGACTCGGTGTTCCCCGATAATGAACAAGGTAAGGTGGTTTCGCATTTACCCGGATAATTAATCGCATCGAATATTGCGTCCTCGATAACAATTCTGTAATTATCCCGATTCACGAGACGAATCCCAGACGCTTGTTGCGCCCGCGCGTCACACGACGCTCCTCTAAGATGCGACCACACACAAAGGAAGATGAACCCCTTTCGACGGACTCTTGGCACAAGCGCTGTTCGCGAACAGCTGTGCAGGCCGGCACAGCTGACGAGGGGCGGGGGTGTGGCCGCAAACTACGTTACGGCCGCCTTTGTCTCCCTGGTGCTGACGTTGACATACCGAACCAGGTACTTGAGGCTGAGCCTACCTTGGGGGGGGGGGGGGGGGGGGGGGAGCAGCAGCGACTCAGATAATCGTCACTGGTGTTAGTGGCCGTGAGCGGGAATCGAACCATCTGGTTGCCCGGTTCGTAGCGCAGTGCGCTAACCGCTGCGCCACCGCTCCCCACCAAGTCACATTAACTGGATTATAAGACGCATGCCTGGCGGTTGCCTTGACACATAGGTGAGGCGTCGTTTAATCGGAAGAATACGGTTATTGGGGCTCATTTACAACAACACAGCCCATTGTATCAACCCCAATGCTGTGAGGGTCGTGTGCGTATTTGACCATACTTCACCACGCTGGTCAGCGGCGGTTGGTGGGGGGGGGGGGGGTCCCACTAACCCTGTGCCCTGATGGCCCAACCACGCAAGCCCGGCCGGCCCCGGGCGCGCAGCGCGTCTCACCCCCATCCAACTGCTTCGCCAGGCTCAACTTTTCCTCTGCTTAGCTTGCGAGAGTCGAGTCGCTAGGACGCACCGCGGGCGATTTGGCCCAGGGGTCAATGACGACGGGACGGCAGCCGCTCCAGGAGGGAGGGAGGAGAGGGGAGAGGGGCCGTGGCCACGGTACTTCATGCATCCCCCACCCCCCAGCCGCGCCACCGCGGCCCTCTCAATTACCTCGGTGGAGCATGCGCCGTTGGGCAGACGCGGAGACAGAGAGACACAGACACGGAGACACAGACGCGGAGACAGAGACACGGAGACACGGAGACACAGACGCGGAGACACAGAGACACAGACGCGGATACAGAGAGACACAGACACGGAGACACAGAGACACGGAGACAAAGAGACACAGAGACACAGACACGGAGACACACAGACACAGAAATACACACGGAGACACAGAGACATGGAGACAGACGCAGAGACACAGAGACACAGATGCAGAGACACAGACGTGGAGACACAGAGACACAGGCGCGGAGACACAGAGACACAGACGCGGAGTTGGGCAAATTCTTTGTCACGGAATTTGGCAGCGCCGCTTGACTTCTTCCTTGCTCTTGAGATGGAGCACGAGAGAGAGAGGAATCGTGAATCCTCGCTCCCCACCCCCCGCCGTGCCACCCCGGGCCGTGCCACCACCCCCCGCCGTGCCACCCCGGGCCGTGCCACCACCCCGGGCCGTGCCACCACCCCGGGCCGTGCCACCACCCTCCATCGTGCCACCCCGGGCCGTGCCACCACCCCGGGCCGTGCCACCACCCTCCATCGTGCCATCCCGGGCCGTGCCACCACCCCGGGCCGTGCCACCCCGGGCCGTGCCACCCCGGGCCGTGCCACCACCCCGGGCCGTGCCACCACCCTCCACCGTGCCACCCTCGCGGGCCCCACGGAGAGTTTATGTGCCGCGAGAGCGGAGCGGGGGGGTGGAGCACGGGGGTGGGGGGGAGCATTGCCCCCCTCCCCACCCCCGTGCCCACCCCCCGCAACACAAATATAGAAGTGAAAATTCCGCCTATGGTGCTGCTGCCACTTTGGGATAGTTTGGCCAACTCCACTGCTGATGCGAGTTGAGCTTCACGCGCGAGGAGGAACAGGAGGGCTCGGAAGGAGACCCCCCCCCCCCCCAGCACGTGTGAGAGGGTAGCGCTCAAAGCTCCGCACAGATGGATTCACCCGATTTCGGGAACACGTTGTTGGAACGCGACCTCGCGGCCTACGCCTCAAAGCACCGGACAATCTCCCTCCCGGCCAGGTACGAAGCGGGCCCGGTCCTGCCTGGCTCGGGCGATTTAGTGGTAAAGCAGGTCTCTCTGTAAGATGCTCTAAAACGCATCGCCTCCGTCTCTCCTGGTCCTGTGGTGCCTGGCGCCGTCTCCGTGTCCCGCTGTCCCCAGGTCGCTTTGTCCGCAGCCAGGACCCGGGCTTCCAGGTGACGGTCCCCGTGAGACTGGCGTCTCGGGCCAAGAGGGACACGGGGCCGCGGGGGCCCCCACTGCGCTACCTGCTCAGCCACCACGGGAAACGCGTGCATCTCAACCTGAGGCCCAACCAGGCCCTTCTCGCGCCGGGGTAACCCTTGCCAACCGGGGGCGGGGGGCACGGGCGAGGCGGGTAGGGGTGGTGGTGGACGATGACTGATTGTATGCGCGCGCGTGTGAACGAATCGGCGAGTCGTGGACGCTGCAAGCAACGAACTGGCCACGAAGGTGAAGGCGCAACCCTGCAAGTGCCGACTCACGCCACCTGCTGGTGGAAGGGGCCTTCCACCAGGGGGAGCTCTAGAGAAGCCCTCTGGAGGAGGATATTTGGTCTATTTATACACGTTGATCACCGCAGGTGTTGTAGGAGGGTGAGTGCACCCACGCTTTGCCCCACCGCACGTGGCCTGCCGATCGAGTCTGGTGCCGCCCATTTACGCTGCTCGGTGAAAACTTGCCCCGTTGTCTCAGCCGCCGCGCCCGGAGGTCGAATCGAGTCGGCGACCTCTGGATTGCAACTCCCCTGGGGGGGGGCGGGGGGGGTGAGGTGGTCGTGGGGGGGGGGGGCATTTAACTGGCCCCCGGTTTGAAATGCCGCATCGCGATGTGGTACCGGCGACCACTGGATTGGAAGTCAACTGCGCTTAAAACATTATTCTGTGGCAGGAAACACACAAAAAAATCGGTGAATGTATTGGTTACAGAATGACGGGATTAATGATTAAATGGATTAATATAAATGTAATATGATTGGGTGGGTGTATGAGTTAATCATTGGGCAACCCGAGCAGAGCATCACCAAAGCAATGAACAAACATGCATCCCGGCTGATTTTAAGCGAATGAATGAATGAATGGTGGGTTGTGCGCTCGTGTAGATTCGTGCTGGAGATTCGGAGAGGAGGGAGGTCTCAGATCCGCGTGGGAGCTGCCCCCGGTCTCCCGGGATCACCGCGAGGGAGCGAAGGTGGACGCGGAGACACGGAAGGGGACACAGAGAGGGACACGGGAGACGCGGAGGACACGGCTGGGACGGTGGAGACAGGAGGAGGAGGATGCCACTACCTGGGATGGATCTCAGAGGGGAAGAGACACACTGGGACAGCTGCCGTGAGCTCGTGTGGAGACGGGCTGGTGAGACGCGTGGACAATACAGGACGGACAGCCGGACGGACGGGTGGAGGTGGACGAATAGAAATTCAGAATCACGCGAAAGAGAGAGAGAGAGAGGTGCACAGGTAGAGGGATAGAACTCACGCACAGGCAGATACAAAGAAAGACACGCACACAGACGGGCACACTGGCAGACAGATACAAACAAAATCCCCCATATAGCCTGAACAGACTGTTGGAGAAAGTGCTGTTAGCGAGCACCTATGAAGGCCGGCGCGGAACACGAAGGGGTGGGTGACCAGCACCACGCCCGGTCGCCTTTGTCTCGCCAGTGGCGATGTTTACACACCACACCAGGTACTCATTTGAGGCTGAGTCGACCTAGAGGATGCCCAGGACCGGTTCAGATAATCGTCAATGGTCTTGGCCGTGAGCGGGAATCAAACTTGGGGTCGCCAGGCTCGTAGCTTAGCGCGCAAACTGCTACACTACAGGCAGACCTATAGACACACACACACGCACATATGCGTGAAGACAGAAACACTGACGGATATAACAGATTCACAAACGAACAATCACACAGACAGACAAACACACCGGTAGGCAGGCACAGTCTAGAGACAGCTGCCCACTATGCACACATGCACAACACGCACATTCTCCACTCATTCCGAGAACGGCTATCTATCTCCCTTCCCTGATAACGCAGAGCACAGTGCTCGTCCAGCGGATAGACTGGGTCTCGCCATGGGAATGGGGAATTTCCACCGGTGGACACCGCCCGAGCAACGGGCCTCTTTCAGGAGCCGAGCTCCATCGGAGAGCGGCCTGGCCGGGCCGGGCAGCAGCAGCAGCAGCAGCTGGTCGGATAGCCGCTCGAGTAAAATGTTGCGCAGTGAACAAACGTCTCGTTACACCGGTGCCCGGTCAGAAAATCTTGCGGGGTGGCGGTGCGTCACAATGGGTTCTCGTGATGTCGAAGCAGCCGGAAGACGAATGTCAGTTCAAACAGGCAGCTTCACTCATCATTTTACGTTCCTCCCTTGACACCTTAACCAACTTCCCCCTTGCTAACCTTGCCAGCCTTCCCTCTGCCTACCATCACCCTCCCTTATTATTCTTCCTCTTGCTAACTTCACCCCCTCTCTCTTTCCCTATCACCACCCTCCCTTGCCATCCCTTCCCCGCCCCAACACTCAAACCCCCATCCCTTTTCCCCATCAGCCATTACTGCTAATGTACAATTTATAATTCTTGTAAAGTGCTTTGATAAAAAAGCGCTCTATCAAATCCTAGATAAGATGACATCATACATTTAGATTTGGGTCTGTTTTATGGGGTGTCACGCTGCACCGGTGCACCGCCAAAGAGCCCCATTTGAGAATTTGTTGCCGACGCTTTTGCCTGAAGGAGCCCGATTTCTGGCAAACCGCCTGACGGTGCAGGCTGTGACCACCGGCGTCAGTGTCGCCGCTGAAGTGAGGCACACATCGGAGCGCTTGTTCGTCACGCGACGCATTTGTTCATCGGTCGTGTCAGGCGGTGGAGGGCTGCCAACACACGTTATACTCGCGTGGCGATCTCGCGCACGGATCAACGCGACACGTGGCGGACGCCTCGCTTGCGCGTTTCGATCCGGTGAACTTTGAAGGCAAAAGCGCAACTGGTGTTAAAATTTGTAAAAATATAACTTTACTTGGGTGATGGGGGGGGCGGGGGTGGTAGCTGAGCCCTTCAGGAGGTAAGGGGGTCCAGCCCCTTGCAGCACCCTCCCAAACACCACCACCACCTCGCTCCTTCTCTTCGCGATCCACCAACCCACCGCCCGCTCCCGCACTCCCCACTCTCTCTCTCTCTCTGTCTCCTCTCTCCCAGACAGGTCTCCTGAGACTGCCTGCGGGCGACTACTTCATTGAGCCGGTGAGACGGGCGCGGAGGAGCCACGGGGAGGGGAGGGAGACCCCCAGCGAGGGGGGAGCGGGGCTTCCGCACCCCGGGGCGCACGTCATTTACAAGCGCGGTGGGGGGCACGGGAGCCCCCCAAACTCGGGGAGGAATGGCACGGTCCCACCGGCATGCGGAGTTCATGGTTAGTGTGTGCAGCGTGCGAGTGAGCGTGCTGCGCGGGAGTGAGCGTGCACGTACCAGCACGTGCGAATGAGTGAGCACGTGTGAGTGAGCGTACACGTGCGAGTGAACATGTGAGTGAGCGTGCACGTGAACATGTGAGTGAGCGTACACGTGCGAGTGAACATGCGAGTGAGCGTGCACGTGCGAGTGAACGTGCGAGTGAGCGTGCACGTGCGAGTGAACGTGTGAGTGAGCGTGCACGTGCGAGTGAACGTGCGAGTGAACATGTGAGTGAGCGTACACGTGCGAGTGAGCGTACACGTGCGAGTGAGCGTACACGTGCGAGTGAACGTGCGAGTAAACGTACGCGTGCGAGTGAACGTGCGAGTGAGCACGCGTGAGCGTATAACTTTGAGTGCGAACTCATCCCCGTGTTACATCGCTGATCCCCCGTGGTGTAAATTCCACGTTCCTCGTCCAGGGACGAGTAAATCCACAGCACGAGCCGCTCTCGACTCCCCACACAGCGGGTACTCGCTTTTATACCCCCCCCCCCACCAGTAGGGCTGATGGGCCGAGTCTAACCCCAGCCAGAATCTTTAGAACCTTGCGAGCTCGTGAACGAGTGAGTGCTTGGGACGTGACTGTCACTGAACGCCTGGCGCCGGGAACGCGAACTCCGAGCCCAGAGCAATGGGATTTCGGAATCCCTTGGCAGTTGCGCGGAGCAGCGTGAAGATTAGCAGGAGGGATGATGTCAGTGCCAATTTAGCGGCGGCTTACGCGCGAGTGTGCGTCTGGGAGGATGGGGGGGCGGTGGCGCAGCGGTGGTTCAGCGCCCTGCTCTCCAGAATCAGGATATTTATTTACGCTCGAGGAATCCGATGAGCCGTGGAGCTCTCTCTGTGTTTTGTTTGCACAGATGTCCAGCAGAACCCGGCGACGCGAGTTCGATTGTCCACCCCACAGCCGACGTCGCCGACGAATATCTGAACCGGTCGTGGGCCTCCCCTAGGTCAACTCGGCCTTAAACGAGTACCCCGGGCGCGATTGGGTAAACATCGGCATTGGTGGAAAACAAAGGGTGGTGTGGTTCCTCGCCACGCCACCCGCACCTTGCGCCCGCCTTCGTAGGTGCTCGCCGACAGCACTTGCCCCAACAGGCTGTCAAGGCTACACGGGGGGATCTTTGCCTTTGCACATGTGTTCAGTGTGGGGGGAGGGCAGGGAGGTCGCTGCCATGACGATATAAACCAACAAGGAGACCCGAGTGTGGTGTGTGTGTGTGTTTTGAACCCCGCAGAAATGCCTGAGGTTAATAGGCGCTCACCAACGGAGTTGAGTTGTGCGTGGAGGTGGGGAACGGTGGTGCAGCGGTCGGCGACCCGGGTTCGATTCCCACTCACGGCCAACACCAGTGGCGATTATCTGAAACGGCCCCGGGCCTCCCCTAGGTCGACTCAGCCTCAAATGAGTACCTGGTGCGGTGTGTAAACATCGTCACTGGGGAGACAAAGGCAGCCGGGCGTGGTGTTGGCCACCCACCCCCTCGTGTGCCTTTCCGGCCTTCGTAGGTGCACGCTAACAGCACTTGCCCCAACAGCCTGTCAAGGCTATACTGGGGGGATCTTCGTCTTTGGGGGTGCGGTGGTGCATCGGTTAGCGCATTGCATTACGAATCAGGCCATTTGAGTTCGATTCCCAAGCCACAGCCAACATCGGTGGATGAGTGACATCACCGTCGCTCTCAAAGCTTCCTCCCAGGTCGACTCAGCCATAAATAAAGTAGCCTGTGTGATAATCGGGGGGGGGGGGGGTGGTGCTGGCCGTGCAACCCCCTATCATGCCTCACCTCCTATCAATAGGCGCTCGCTAACAGCAGTCGCCCCAACAGTATATAATCGATGCAGGCACTCGCCCCAACAGTCTATAATCGATGCAGATACTCACCCCAATAGTCAATAATCGATGCAGATACTCGCCCCAACAGTCAATAATCGATGCAGGCACTCACCCCAACAGTCAATAATCAATGCAGATACTCGCCCCAATAGTCAATAATCGATGCAGATACTCACACCAATAGTCAGTAATCGATGCAGGCACTCGCCCCAATAGTCAATAATCGATGCAGATACTCGCCCCAATAGTCAATAATCGATGCAGATACTCACCCCAATAGTCAGTAATTGATGCAGGCACTCGCCCCAACAGTCAATAATCGATGCAGGCACTCGCCCCAACAGTCAATAATCGATGCAGGCACTCGCCCCAACAGTCTATAATCGATGCAGGCACTCGCCCCAACAGTCTATAATCGATGCAGGCACTCGCCCCAACAGTCTATAATCGATGCATGCACTCGCCGCAACAGCCAATAATCGATGCAGGCACTGGCTCAACAGTCTATAATCAATGCAGGCACTCGCCCCAACAGTCTATAATCAATGCAGGCTATCGCCCCAACAGTCAATAATCGATGCAGGCACTCACCCCAACAGCCAATAATCAATGCAGGCACTCGCCCCAAACAGTCAATAATCAATGCAGGCACTCGCCCCAACAGTCTATAATTAATGCAGGCACTCGCCCCAACAGTCTATAATCAATGCAGGCACTCGCCCCAAACAGTCAATAATCAATGCAGGCACTCGCCCCAAACAGTCAATAATCAATGCAGGCACTCGCCCCAAACAGTCAATAATCAATGCAGGCACTCGCCCCAAACAGTCAATAATCAATGCAGGCACTCGCCCCAACAGTCAATAATCAATGCAGGCACTCGCCCCAACAGTCAATAATCGATGCAGGCACTCGCCCCAACAGTCTATAATCAATGCAGGCACTCGCCCCAAACAGTCAATAATCAATGCAGGCACTCGCCCCAAACAGTCAATAATCAATGCAGGCACTCGCCCCAAACAGTCAATAATCAATGCAGGCACTCGCCCCAACAGTCTATAATCAATGCAGGCACTCGCCCCAACAGTCTATAATCAATGCAGGCACTCGCCCCAACAGTCTATAATCAATGCAGGCACTCGCCCCAACAGTCAATAATCGATGCAGGCACTCACCCCAACAGCCAATAATCAATGCAGGCACTCGCCCCAACAGTCAATAATCGATGCAGGCACTCGCCCCAACAGTCAATAATCAATGCAGGCACTCGCCCCAACAGTCAATAATCGATGCAGGCACTCGCCCCAACAGTCAATAATCGATGCAGGCACTCACCCCAACAGCCAATAATCAATGCAGGCACTCGCCCCAACAGTCAATAATCGATGCAGGCACTCGCCCCAACAGTCAATAATCAATGCAGGCACTCGCCCCAACAGTCAATAATCGATGCAGGCACTCGCCCCAACAGTCAATAATCGATGCAGGCACTCGCCCCAACAGTCTATAATCGATGCAGGCACTCGCCCCAACAGTCAATAATCGATGCAGGCACTCGCCCCAACAGTCTATAATCGATGCAGGCACTCGCCCCAACAGTCTATAATCGATGCAGGCACTCGCCCCAACAGTCTATAATCGATGCAGGCACTCGCCCCAACAGTCAATAATCAATGCAGGCACTCGCCCCAACAGTCAATAATCGATGCAGGCACTCGCCCCAACAGTCAATAATCGATGCAGGCACTCGCCCCAACAGTCTATAATCGATGCAGGCACTCGCCCCAACAGTCAATAATCGATGCAGGCACTCGCCCCAACAGTCTATAATCGATGCAGGCACTCGCCCCAACAGTCTATAATCGATGCAGCCTGTGGCGCAGTGAGAGGCACCAACCCTCCACGTTCGCCATGGCACACTCGTCACTCCACAAGCGGACATCACCGCTGCACCGCCGCTCCTCGCAGAGACAAAAATATCCCACATGGAGTTAGCGAGCGACCCGATTTAAGGCCGCTACAAGCGCCACACGAGGGGGGGGGGGGGGTTGTTGTGGCAAGAAACCACGCCCGGCCGCCTTTGTCTCCCCAGTGGTGACGTTTGCACATCACGCCAGGTACTCTTTTGAGGCTGAGTCGACCTAGCGGAGGCCCATGACCGGTTCAAATAATCGCCACTGATGTTGGCCGTGAGCGGGAATCGAACTCGGGTCCCCGGGTTCGTAGCGCAGCGTAGCGCTAACCGCTGCACCACCACTCCCCGAAACCACACACAAATATGAAGATGCCACCCCCAATAGCCTTTTAAGGCTATTGTTGGTGCGCTCGCACACCAACTCCTGAGCGTAACTCCGTGAAATATGACCACTCTGGCCGGTTCTATAAACACCCGTGGGTGGGCGCGCCCTTCAGATGATAACACCACCGAAGCCGCACGACCGTTGCGACGCTTTCGGAGAGAGCGGTGAGGCCGCCCACGTCCTCGAGCACAGAGAGAGGGAACGCTTTCGCGAGCAGATTGTACGGGGGTGCCGCTCGCGAGAACCTACAAAGAAGGCCGGCACGGCGCACGAGGGGGTCCGCCGTTGGTGTGGCCCTCACCGCGCCCGGCCGCCTTTGTCCCCACCGCGGTGCGTGCTCGTCAATTCATTTTAAGGCTGGGGTCGACCCAGAAGCAAGCTTCCGACCGTTACTAGCCGCGAGCGGGGATCGAACCCGGGTTGCCCGGGTCGCAGGAGCAGCGTGATGCACTGACCACTGCCCTGCCCCCCCCCCCCCCCCACCGGACGCACGCGTTGCGAAACAACAACGCAGCCTTCCGCGCGTATAGCCTGCGTACGCTGTTGGGGGGCCAATTTCGGAAAAGAATAACTATTTGAATGCATTGATCGTTTGGAGCCCCGAAGTCAATCCACTGCTGGATGAAGGCCTCCCGATGTACCGTGTCAGCCGTGGTGGGCGTGTTTGGCCACACTTCAACACGCTGGCCATCGTGGGTTGGTCAGGGTGGGTCACCTCCCCACCGAAGGCGACGGAGCAATTTTAATAACCCGCCCTCGCTTCGTCCACGCGGCGAAAGCCGCCCGCTTTCTGCACGAAGATCTTTTCCTGGCCCGTCAAGTTTGATTCCCCCCCCCTCCCCCACACACGACACACACGCGTCACAGCTCTCTCCGTATTTCAATCAGCTCGGGCATCCCGTGAATCACGTGACCTCTGTGAGTGGCCACTCCCACTCTGAGCCCCTCCCCCTCGCCGCGCCCGCCGCGAGAACAGACGCCGCTCCGTGCAGCGGCGGCGGCGGCGGCAGCGGCGTCGAGGCCCTGACGCAGCCTCTCCCTCCTCCACTCATCTCCTCGTCTCTCCTGGACCACGGGCGCACCGAGCGGTTCATTTGACGCTCCCGGCCGTGCTGCCGTCGCTGTCGCTGATCCCCGCGCCCTGCGGCCTCCGTTGCAGACTCGCCGCGGGCCGCCTCGCGCACGGAGAGGAGACGCGAGCGCTGGCAGCAGGGGTGGAGGCAGCGCTCCCTGCTCCGCGCTGCTGCTGCTGCTGGTGGCGGCCCAAGACGCCGCGTGGGCCCGCGCTCCGTCAGCAAGGAGCGCTGGGTGGAGACGATGGTGGTCGCCGACGGCAAGATGGTGGAGCATCACGGCGAGGAGAACATCGAGGCCTACGTCCTCACCGTCGTCAACATGGCACGTGCAGCCACTCCCTCGCTTGGCTCGGACAACACCCCCCCTCCCTCCCCCCCCCACCCCCCCGTGGCTCCTGGCCACTCGCGATAACAATGCGCGTCCATGCAGAGTGGAGTCACTCTGCGCGAACGTCACCTCACCGGTTGCGTCCTCATCCCACGGGTTGTTTACAGCGTCGGAGGGAACCGTGAAGCACGCCGGGAGAAGCCCGCCCGTGCGAGGAGGAGAGGGGGCAACGCTCTATCTCACACAGAAGGGACGGACGATAAAACGTGATGTGCCAATCGGGTGGACGATGGTCGCCTCGCGCTGTCCCGAATGAGCGAATCGACGTGACGAAGGCGCGACAGCGGGGTTAGGGTAAGGAGTCCCCGCCGGAGCGGCTTCCGGCGTTGCGCCGTGAAGTCGTCTTCCGTGGCCGTTCTCCTCGACGCAGGGTGGTGCACCGCTCACCGGGAGAGTCTTGACCCCCCACCCTGCCCCCCACCCCGCCCCCCACCACCGCCATCCCGTTTGCTGCAGGTGGCCGGCTTGTTCCGGGACGCGAGCATCGGCAACCCCATCAACGTCGTCCTCGTGAGGATGGTGCTGCTGACGGGCCAAGAGGTGAGCCCCGCACGAGTTGCACGGGGGGTGAGTCACGTGTCATGCAGAGCGCATGATGCACGCATTCGACTCCTCTCTCGTGCCCGGTCGCCTTTGTCTCTCCAATGCTGACGTTTACGGTGGGATGTGTGACGGTGGGATGTGTGACGGTGGCACGTGTGATGGTGGGGTGTCTGACGGTGGGGTGTGTGACGGTGGCACGTGTGATGGTGGGGTGTGTGACGGTGGGGTGTGTGACGGTGGCACGTGTGATGGTGGGGTGTGTGACGGTGGGGTGTGTGACGGTGGGGTGTGTGACGGTGGGGTGTGTGACGGTGGGGTGTGTGACGGTGGCACATGTGATGGTGGGGTGTGTGACGGTGGGGTGTGTGTGGTGGGGTGTGTGATGGTGGGGTGTGTGATGGTGGGGTGTGTGGCGGTGGGGTGTGTGACGGTGGGGTGTGTGATGGTGGGGTGTGTGATGGTGGGGTGTGTGATGGTGGGGTGTGTGACTGTGGGGTGTGTGACGGTGGGATGTGTGATGGTGGGACGCATGATGGTGGCACGCACGATGGTGGAATGTGCGACGGTGGGACACATGACGGTGGGACACGTGATGGTGGGACACGTGACGATGGGACACGTGACTGTGGGACTCACAATGGTGGGATGTGCGACGGTGGGACGCGTGACGGTGTGTTCGCTCGTGCGTCACACCTGGGGACCGCGCGGCTCGCAGGAAGAGCTGAAGGTGGTGCACCACGCGGACCTCACGCTGCACAGCTTCTGCAAGTGGCAGAGGAGCGTGAACCCCAAGGGAGAGGCCCACCACGCTCACCACGACGCGGCCGTGCTGCTCACCAGGTGAGTCGCGGTGCCTTGGTTGCCTCAATGGCAGTTGCTGAGCCAGGCCCAAAGGACAACAATTCTCAGGAATGCCACGCAGCCGGCAGCACATAGCACTGTCCGAGTTGTAACGGACGACATATGATGCGGTGAGCGAATGGTGAGCGTGTGGCATGTGGTGAGTTTGTGAGCACACGGTGAGCGGCTTCAATCTACTGCTGGATGAAACCCTCCCCAAACCGGCAGCACCGCTCGCGACCCCGCTATGCAACAATGCACCCAGCATGTGCACACGAACTGATTTCCTCACTCCATCTCCATGGTGACCGTGCGTGCGTGTGCATGTCTTTGTCTTTGTGTGTGCTTGTGTTTCCTGAGTAAAGAGCGGCAGTGTAGCTGGGCCTGCCCTAGGTCGACTCAGCCTCAAATGAGTACCCGGTGGCCTAGTGTGCCATTCCAGCCTTCATAGATGCTCACTCACAGCATTTGCCCCAACAGCCTGTTGAAGGCTATACGGGGGATCTCTGTCTTTACCTTTGTGCGTTTCCCACACCCGCAGAAAGGACCTGTGTGCGGGTATGAACCGGCCGTGCGAGACTTTGGGGCTGTCCCACATGGCCGGCATGTGTCAGCCACACCGCAGCTGCAACATCAACGAGGACACGGGCCTTCCGCTGGCCTTCACCATGGCCCATGAGCTCGGACACAGGCAAGGCCCCCACCAGTGCCGAAGCATGGGTTGGCTTATGGGCTCTGGCACAAGGAATTAAATAGGGCCCCTTTGCCAATTTCACTGACTCGCTCGCTCGCTCAATCATTCACCCACTCTAACTCACTCATCCACTCGAATACTTATTCAACCAACCGCTCACTCATCCGACCCACTCGCTCAACCGCTTTCCCACTCGATCACTCAATCGCACACTCTCCAACTCAGTTGTCGATTTGCTCGCTCACTCGCTCAACGGTCCACTCACACACCCACCCACTCGCACACTCATTCACCCGTCCACTCACTCGTGCCCTTGCCCACTCAACCACTCCCACCGACCCACTCACTCGTCGGCGCCGGTTTCAAGGTTTGTCAGCCACGAATCCCAGGTCTCAAGTCACAAGGCGAAGGCCAGAATCCTGTTACGTTGAGGCCAGCGTCAAAGCGAATCGTGACGCGTCGCGTGAAGTTCGCAAAGTCGATGCCGCTGCGTTTAACTCTGCCCTCCCACCCCCCCCCCCTCTTGATCCCCCGTCATCCACCTCCCAGCTTTGGCATCCAGCACGACGGGCAGGGCAACGCGTGCGAGGCGCGGGGCAAGCGCCCGTCCATCATGTCTCCGCAGCTGACGTACAGCTCGCGGCCGCTCTCCTGGTCCTCGTGCAGCCGCGACTACGTGACGCGCTTCCTCGAGTGCGTGGCTCTCTTCGCAACCCCCCCCCCCCCCCCCCCGCCAGTAAACACGCGGTGTACGTTGGCCCGACGTTGGCGCAACGTCGGCGTGCGGTCGGAACCGTGGTGCCGACGTTGACTCCAACGTCGGCCCCCAGTGTGCCTCGGGTAAGCGACGAGGAGTTTGTATGTTCCTCTCACTCTCTCTCTCCCGTCTGTTCTGCGTGGGGGCTTTCCGGGTTCCTCCCAGAGCTGACCAACAACAGAAACAAACGTGCTGTGTAGCTGTATTGGCCGACTGCATTGCCCAGCACGCGGAGCGAAACGTCAGAAAACGCGGGCACGGCCCCAAATGCACGTGGGTTGAGCTACAGCAGCAGCAGCAGAAACGGCACGACCAGCGAAAACCTACACGGCCATTCTGTCTCTCATCCCTCATCTCTCTCTCTCTCTTGTCACCCCGCTGTCCACCACCCCTCGCTCCACCCCCGCCGCCCACCGCAGCCGGGGCTGGGGGTTCTGCCTGGACGACCCCCCCTCCCCTCGGCCCGAGCCCCTCGTCGTCCCCACGGCACCCCCTGGAGCCCTCTACGATGCCCCCCACCAGTGCCGGCTGCAGTACGGGGAGGCATCACGACACTGCCGGGGCATGGACGTACGTACGTGCGGACGCGCGCGGGCGTGTGTCTGTGTGTGTGTCTGTGTGTGTCTGTGTGTGTGTCTGTTTGCGTGTCTGTGTGTGTGTCTGTGTGCGTGGTGGGGAGCGGTGGTGCAGCGGTTGGCGCGCCGCGCTACGAACCCGGCGACCCGAGTTCGATTCCCGCTCTCGGCCAACATCGCTGACGATTTTCTGAACCGGTCCTGGGCCTCCCCTAGGTCGACTCGGCCTCAAATGAGTACCTGGTGCGATGTGTAAACATCGCCACTGTGGAGACAAAGGCGGTCGGGCGAGGTGCTGGCCACCCACCCCCCCTCGTGTGCCGTGCCGGCCTTAATAGGTGCTCGCTAACAGCACTTGCCCCAACAGTCTTGTAAGCTCTTTGTCTTTGTGGGGAGTGGTGGTGAAGTTCTTCTTTGGTTCTTTCGGTAAAATCACGTAGAATGAGAATAAAATTATAAAATAAAACAATAAAATTCTCTCGACAAAAGAACCAAAGAAGATGAATCCTTGCAGTCACGAAAGCTTTAAATCGGTGGTGTAGTTGTTGGTGTACTGCGCTACGAACCCGGCGACCCGAGTTCGATTCTCGCTCATGACAAATAACAGTCACGGACATCCGATTTGGTCCTGGGCCTCCCCGAGGTTGACTTGGCCTTAAACTGAGCACATGCTGCAGTGCGCAATCATCAGCACTGGAGAGACAAAGACGGCCGCGTGTGGTGCTGGCCACCCACCTCCCCGTGACGCCGTGCCGACCTTCGTGGGTGCTACTCGCCAATGCCACTCGCCCCAAAAGTCTGTCGAGGCTATCCGGGGGACCTTTGTCTTTTGTGCACAGGTGTGTGCATGCAAACATGTGTCTGTGCGCATCAATGCGCGCGGATTGATGTTGGTGCCCACCTTGTCCCATGGACCCGTGGACCAGGTGACGCACGGCTGGGTATTGCAGGCCCGCGTGGCGTTGGGGGTGGCACGGAGGTCACAGCGGTCGGCATGGGGGCACGAGACGCGGCGACGCTGCACCCCCCCTGCACACGTCCGCGAGCACTGCACACGTGCACACAACAACAACAACAGCAACAGCAGACGCCGCCATTCGCCTCCAAGTGACACGGCACCCGTGCCAGGCGAGGTGCAATTTTGAGGCCGCTTAAAGTGTCGATGGCTCGCCGCTGGCAGGAGGTCACGGGACAGACCCATGTGCCATGGGTTGACTGACCGAAGATGACTGGCTGATGCGCCGCCAGTGCAGTTGGCCCGAAACTCAGCATGGCTATAGGGGAATGTTTGTACGAGCGAGAGCAGATGCGTTTAACGTCACTGAAAACGGAGCACACACTTTATGGGTTGCGTCTTCTCGGTGCGTCTCGCAACGCGGAGGATGCGGTGCTAGATAAAGAGAGGACGCTCCTTGGGGGCGGGGAAAAAAAACACAGCCAAGTGGGAAACCCTCGCGCGTGCAGCAACGGTGAGTCGGGGATATACGTTTGTTGCGGGAAACCACGGGTTAGAGGTCGAATTAGCGTTAGAGTTTGAGTTAGGGTTAGAGGTTGAGTTAGGGTTAGAGGTCGAGTTAGGGCTAGAGGTCGAGTTAGGGTTAGAGGTCGAGTTAGGGCTAGAGGTCGAGTTAGGGTTAGAGTTTGAGTTATGGTTAGAGGTCGAGTTAGGGTTAGAGTTTGAGTGAGGGTTAGAGGTCGAGTTAGGGTTAGAGGTCGAGTTAGGGTTAGAGGTCGAGTTAGGATTAGAGGTTGAGGTAGGGTTAGAGGTCGAGTTAGGGTTAGAGGTCGAGTTAGGGTTAGAGGTCGAGTTAGGGTTAGAGGTCGAGTTAGGGTTATAGGTTGAGTTAGGGTTAGAGGTTGAGGTAGGGTTAGAGGTCGAGTTAGGGTTAGAGGTCGAGTTAGGGTTAGAGGTTGAGTTAGGGTTAGAGGTTGAGTTAGGGTCAGGGTTCGAGTTAGGGTCCAGGTTAGGGTTCACATCAGGGTCAGGGGATCGAGTGCCTGGGGCTGTGCGGCGGTGTTGTTCACGTGGAGTGTGGCAGCCCGCCTGGCCGTAGCGTTCACGCGGCGTGTACTCTCTGGGCACTTTGTTTTCTGTGTTTGTGGACTGCTGTGTGAGCCCCACGTGGTGCCGGCTCCACCTTGATCGCAGCGACGTCACAAGGCGCAGGGCCCGAACCGACAAGGGGGTTCGGGTTAACACGACTCTCTCTCTCTCTCTCTCCCAACTCTCTCCTCACCTATCTCCCTCTCCCATCTTTATCCCATTCCACTCTCCCCTTTCTCTCCTTTTTTACTCCCTTTTTTTTCCCTGGATTTTCTGTTTGCACAGTCACATAATCACTTTAAGATGTTTTTCTTGTTCATGTGTTTTTTGTTTGTTGCGGTTGCACCCGATTCAAGAGCCAAATGGCTCACAGGGCTATACCAAATAAATGAACTATGAATCTATGAACTAACTCCCCAGCGATCTTTCTCTGTCCCCTCTCTCTCTCTCCTCGCCCATTCCCTCTCACGTCTCTCCTAGCCCTCTCTCTTCTGTCTGCTCCGCTCTCCATCTCTGTCCCCCGTCTCCCTTCCCCCCCTCCTCTCTCTGCCCCCCCCCCACCCCCGCCGCTGTACATAGAACGTGTGCCACACGCTGTGGTGCACCGTCGGCGACACGTGCCACTCCAAGCTCGATGCTGCGGCCGACGGGACTCGCTGTGACCACGGCAAGGTGATGTAGCGTCACGGCCGCACGCCGTCACGGCCCTCGCAGCTGCTGCTCTCTGGCAGCACTTGACCCAATGGCCTGCTGAGGCTATCCCGGGGATCTCTGTCTTTGTTATATGTGCATGTGTGTATGTGGGGAGCGGTAGTGTAATGGTTAGCGCGCTGCGCTATGCACCCGGCGACCCGGGTTCGATTCCCGCTCACGGCCAACGCCGGTGACGATTATCTGAACCGGTCCAGGGCCTCCCCTAGGTCTACTCAGCCTCAAATGAGTGTCTGGTGCGATGTGTAAACATCGTCACTGGGGAGACAAAGGTGGTCGGGCGTGGTGCTGGCCACCCACCCCCTCGTGTACCGTTCCGGCCTTCATAGGTGCTCGCTAACAGCACTTGTCCCTACAGTCTGAAGGCTATGCGGGGGATCTTTGTCTTTGTATGTACGGCCACTCATCTCAGTCAGTCGACCCGTGGCATCTGGGTCTGTCCCGTGACCTCCTGCCAGCGGGCGTTCGACACTTCACGTGGCCTCAAGGTGCACCTAGCCTGGCACAAGCGCCGTGGCGAATGGCGGTTGTTGCGTATGTGTATGTAGGTGTACGTGTGTACGTGTGCGTGTATGTATGTGTGTACGTGTGCGTGTGTGCATTTGTGTGTGTATGTGTGTGTTTCAGGAAAGGGCGGTCCTGCACAGATGCCATATTTTCTGTCCGTCTGCTACAGCAGAGGTGTAGGGAATTCCAAGAAGACCTACATCTCTGCTTTATTGACCTGGTCAAGGCCTATGATACCATCAGTAGGCCTGGGCTCTGGGTTGTTCTTCATGCTTTTGGAGTCCCTGACCCCCTGCTCACGATCATTAAGGACCTTCATGATGGTGAGCGGGCCCGGGTAAAACTACGTGGCCAGGAGTCAGAGCCATTCCCTGTACACCTTGGGGTGCGACAGGGATGTCCTCTGGCTCCCACATTATTTAACATATATTTTGACCACGTAGTTCGTGAAGCCTTCAATAGCTGTACCGGGGGATATAATGGGAGGCTGATCGATGCCGGGTGCGGTCAAGGGATGGCTCCCTATTGCTCAACCACGTCATGTATGCCGATGATTTGGTAATAGCTGCTCATTCAGAGGAGGAGTTGGAGACGCTGCTGCTGAGACTGGAGCATGCCACTAAGAGATGGGGGCCTTACCATCAACCCCACCAAAACTAAGCACCTGCCTGGGTATTTTGTACCATCGGACACTCCACCTCCACAACTCCCAATCGGTGATGGGGCAGTTGTGGATAGAGTGGAGAGTTTCCCATACCTGGGCAGTGTGCTTATGACTGGCGCCAGTTTAACAGCAGAGGTCTCACTCCGAATCAGTCGAGCGGCAATATCTTTTCATCGGTTGCGTAACGCTGCCTGGAAGCTACCTGGTCTGTCGCTCCAAATGAAGCTTCAGTTCTTCTTGGCCACAGTCATGCCCTCCCTTCTCTACGTTTGCGAAACATGGACCCCCCTAATGGAACATCTTCGCCGGTTAGAAACATTTAGGCTAGCCTACCTACGATCCATCCTGGGTGTAACCAGGCTGAATTGTGTGAGGAGCTCACAAATCCTTGAAAGATCTGGACAAGGTCCCATTGGTGAACTCCTCCGGCAGGCAAGGCTGCGTTGGCTGGGTCATGTAGCCCGCATGCCCATCCACTGCATGCCTAACAGCTTTTGTTTGGCCGGATCGAGGGGGCTAAACGGGCGTGGCACGGGCTGGAGAAGAGATCGAGTGATGTGGTACAGGAGGACGTGGAGCTGAGTGGACTTGCCGATGACTGGTACCAGCGGTGTCAAGATCGGCCTCTGTGGAGGAGGCTCGTGAAGGACGCTACTGGGCAGTTGGAGGCAGTCGCCCTCCAACAACAACGGAGGGCGGAGGAGCGACGCTCACAACAACGAGCGGAACGCCGGGTGGCTGAAGCACAGCAGGTTGGCACAGTAGGGGGCACAGGTCATCTCAGTCATCTTAGTCAGTCGACCCGTGGCACGTGGGTCTGCCCCGTGACCTGCCAGCACATGGCCTGGCACAAGCGTCGTGGTGACGTCACCGCCACTTAGTGGCGAATGGCGGTTGTTGTTGTATGTATGTGTGCGTGTTTGTACGTGTGTGTGCGTGTGTATGTGTGCATGTTTGTGTACGTGTGTGTGTACGTGTGTGTACGTGTGTGTGTGTGCATGTGTGTGCACGTAGTGGTGCTATTACGGAGAGTGCGTCTCCACCGACTGGCGCCCGGAGAGGATTCCGGGGGGTTGGGGGTCGTGGGGGGCCTGGACCCCCTGCACGCGCTCGTGTGGGGGCGGGGTGGAGTCTGCAGAGAGGCTCTGTGACAGCCCCACGTGAGCACAACACGGCCAGCGTCGCTCGCCACGACACTCGCCCGTACCCAACACTCTCACCGCTCATCTCGTCCCTGCATTGTTCCCCTCATTGTCCCTGCATCGTCCCCTCATTGTCCCCGCATTGTCCCCTCATTGTCCTCTCATTGTCCCCTCATTGTCCTCTCATTGTCCCCTCATTGTCCTCTCATTGTCCCCTCATTGTCCCCGCATTGTCCCCTCATTGTCCCCTCATTGTCCCCGCATTGTCCCCTCATTGTCCCCTCATTGTCCCCTCATTGTCCCCTCATTGTCCCCGCATTGTCCCCTCATTGTCCCCTCATTGTCCCCTCATTGTCCCCTCATTGTCCCCTCATTGTCCCCTCATTGTCCCTGCATTGTCCCCTCATTGTCCCCTCATTGTCCCCGCATTGTCCCCTCATTGTCCCCTCATTGTCCCCTCATTGTCCCCTCATTGCCCCCGCATTGTCCCCTCATTGTCCCCTCATTGTCCCCTCATTGTCCCCTCATTGTCCCTGCATTGTCCCCTTATTGTCCCCTCATTGTCCCCTCATTGTCCCCTCATTGTCCCCTCATTGTCCCCTCATCGCCCTCTCATTATCCCCCTCATTGTCCCCTCATTGTCCCCTCATTGTCCCCTCATTGTCCCTGCATTGTCCCCTCATTGTCCTCGCATTGTCCCCTCATTGTCCCTGCATTGTCCCCTCATTGTCCCCGCATTGTCCCCTCATTGTCCTCGCATTGTCCCCTCATTGTCCCCGCATTGTCCCCTCATTGTCCCCTCATTGTTCTCTCATTGTCCCCTCATTGTCCCCTCGTTGTCCTCTCATTGTCCCCTCATTGTCCCCTCGTTGTCCTCTCATTGTCCTCTCATTGTCCCCTCATTGTCCTCTCATTGTCCCCTCATTGTCCCCTCATTGTCCTCTCATTGTCCCCTCATTGTCCTCTCATTGTCCCCTCATTGTTCCCTCATTGTCGCTGCATCGTCCCCTCATTGTGCCCTCATTGTTCCCTCATTGTTCTCTCATTGTCCCCTCATTGTCCCCTCATTGTCCCCTCATTGTCCCCTCATTGTTCTCTCATTGTGCCCTCATTGTCCCCTCATTGTCCCCGCATTGCCCCCTCATTGTTCTCTCATTGTCCCCTCATTGTCCCCTCATTGTCCTCTCATTGTCCCCTCATTGTCCCCTCATTGTCCCCTCATTCTCCCTGCATTGTCCCCTCATTGTCCCCTCATTGTCCCTGCATTGTCCCCTCATTGTCCCCTCATTGTCCCCTCATTGTCCCTGCATTGTCCTCTCATCGTCCCCTCATTGTCCCCTCATTGTCCCTGCATTGTCCCCTCATTGTCCCCTCATTGTCCCCTCATTGTCCCCTCATTGTCCCCTCATCGCCCTCTCATTATCCCCTCATTGTCCTTTCATTGTCCCCTCATTGTCCTCTCATTGTCCTCTCATTGTCCCCTCATTGTCCTCTCATTGTCCCCTCATCGTCCTCTCATTGTCCCCTCATCGTCCTCTCATTGTCCTTTCATTGTCCTTTCATTGTCCCCTCATTGTCCCCGCATTGTCCGCTCAGGCCCCGTGGAGGCGGCCGCTATTGCACGGGCGAGCGGCGCCGCTACCGCCTGTGTCACACGGCCGCCTGCCCCGCGGCAACGACGATGAAGGCGGCGAACAAGACGTCGTCGTCGGCATCGTCGGCAGGGCCGGGCCGCGCCGCGGGCGGCACGCCGCCGTCGTTCCGCGCGCTGCAGTGCAGCCGCTTCGACAAAGTCCCCTACAAGGGGCGCCTCCACTCCTGGATCCCCGTCATCAGCCCCAGTGAGACCCCTCGCTCGCTCACCCACTGGGTCACTCACTCACTCGCTCGCTCGTTCACTCACTCGGTTGCTCGCTCACCCACTCGGTCACTCACTCACTCGCTCGCCCATTCAACTACTCGGTCGCTAGCTCACCCACTCGGTCACTCACTCACTCGCCCACCCGGCCGCTCGCTCGCCCACTCGCTCGCTAGCCTGCCCGCCCGCCCGCTCAGTCACTCGCTCGCCCGCCCGCCCGCTCGGTCGCTAGCTCACCCACTCGGTCACTCACTCATTCGCCCACCCGGCCGCTCGCTCGGCCACTCGCTCGCTAGCCTGCCCGCCCGCCCGCTCAGTCACTCGCTCGCCCGCCCACCCGCCCGCTCGGTCGCTCGCTCACCCACTCGGTTGCTCACTCGCTCGCCTGCCCACTCGCCAGCCCGCTCACTCTCTCACCCACCCACACAGTCGCTCGCTCTCTCACCATCCCCCGATGGCTCGCCGTTCGCTCAACCACCCTGCCGCTCGATCGTTCGCTCACTCATCCAGCAGCACACCCGAGCACGATCACCGATCGCTCACCGACTCGCTCGCTTGCCCGCCCGATCACTCGCTCACCTAATCGCCAGCACTACCCAGCGCACACGCACCCACGCGCGTCGCTCCAGTGCATGCGTAACGCCGGCGCCGTGCGTGCGTGCCCGTGCATAACCGTGCATGCACGTGCATGCGATGTCAGTGAACCCGTGCGAGCTGCACTGCCAGCCGGTAGGCGAGCACTTCACGGAGAAGCTGCTGGACGCCGCGGTGGATGGAACGCCGTGCGCGGACAACCCAAACGCCCGAGACATCTGCATCAACGGCATCTGCAAGGTGCCCGGGTGGATCCCCACCAAGGCAGAGCGCACGTTCATTTGCTCGCTCGCTCACTCCTCACACGTTCATCATCGCCTCGAGTGTTCTTTTGACTGTTCTCTGGTTCACTCGCTCCACTGATCACTCACTCTATCGGTCACTCACTCCGTCTGCCACTCACTCGCTCCATCAATCACTCACTCACTCACTCTATCGGTCACGCACTCCGTTTGCCACTCACTCGCTCCATCAATAACTCACTCACTCTATCGGTCACTCACTCCGTCTGCCACTTACTCGCTCAATCCATCAATCACTCACTCACTCTATCAGTTACTCACTGCCTCTGCCACTCACACGCTCCATCAATAACTCACTCACTCACTCTATCGGTCACTCACTCCGTCTGTCGCTCACTCGCTCCATCAATCACTCACTCACTCTATCGGTCACGCACTCCGTTTGCCACTCACTCGCTCCATCAATAACTCACCCACTCTATCGGTTACTAACTCAGTTTGTCGCTCACTCGCTTCATTCATCACTTACTCACTAAATCGGTCACTCACTCCGTTTGCCACTCATTCGCTCCATCCATCAAGAACTCACTCACTCTATCGGTTACTCGCTGTCTGTCGCTCATTCGCTCCATCCATCAATCACTCACTCACTCTATCGGTCACTCACTTCGTCTGTCGCTCACTCGCTCCATCAATCACTCACTCACCCACTCTATCGGTCACTCACTCCGTCTGTCGCTCACTCGCTCCATGAATCACTCACTCACTCCTGTAATTATCTTATTGATCCCCCCCACTCCCCTTCCTTCATCATAAGTCTTCCTTCAAAAATATTCTGAAGTAGAAGATTCCTGCTGGACACAACCACATTGGCCAATGCGATTTGTAACTCTGATCCTTACCCATACATTTTAATGTGGCATTTAATTGAGATAATGTGTGTTTAATGGTGCGGTCTGGGACTGTTTGTGATGTTGCTGCCTTGCCCAAGCTTGCATTTAGCGCTGAAAAATTCGCAGGTTATTAATGTACAAATTGTACTTAAGTGGCATTCCTATACTCTGCACCGCTATCGGTTTTTGTCTCTTGTGTTGTTGTAACTCGCTGACCACGTGCCCCTACTGGACATCTGTGAAAAAGAGCTTCATAGTTCATCGGATTCCTCCTGAATAAATATACTGATTCTGAGTACATCACCTCTATGAGGATATCTCACCTGTGTCACACCTGTGTGAGGTGTATCACCTGTCACACCTGAGTGAGGTGTCTCACCTGTGTGAGGTGTCTCACCTGTGTCTCGCCTGTGTCAGGTATCTCACCTGGGTGAGGTATCTCACCTGTTTCACCTGTAGTGAGTTGTCTCACCTGTGTGAGGTGTCTCACCTGTGTCTCACCTGTAGTGAGGTGTCTCACCTGTAGTGAGGTGTCTCACCTGTGTCTCACCTGTGCCTCACCTGTAGTGAGGTCTCACCTGTAGTGAGGTGTCTCACCTGTAGTGAGGTGTCTCACTTGTGTCTCACCTGTGTCTCACCTGTAGTGAGGTGTCTCACCTGTAGTGAGGTGTCTCACCTGTGTCTCACATGTGGGAGGTGTTTCACCTGTGAGGTGTCTCACCTGTGTGAGGTATCTCACCTGTGCCTCACCTGTGTCTCAGCACGTTGGCTGCGACCTGCGGATTGACTCGCTGGCAGTGGAGGACCGCTGTGGAGTGTGCATGGGCGATGGCTCCACGTGCCGCACTGTCAAGAAAACCTTCAACGACAGCGAGGGGCTCGGTGAGGGGCCTGGTGGAGGGGGGCCTGGTGGAGGGGGGCCTGGGGGGCGGGGTCGGGGGGGGGGGAGGGGGCCCTGGGGGTACAACATGACCGTAACACGACGATGATGATGATGTCCAACCAAAAAAGTGAAAGGATGGCGACGAGCGGTGGTGGCAGCATGGAAATGCCTCCATCCAGCAGTGGATCGACCGCGACCGACGATCATTAATAAAATAACCGATTGGTGTTCATGTTGCACCTACGACGTAACAAAGCATGTCGGAGCGCGGTTCGCTTTCAATTTAGCCTCGGGCTCCCCCCCCCCCCCCCCCCCCCGACGGCAGCTGATTTTCCTTTAAGATCTCCGCGGATCCCGGACCAATCGGCGCCACGAAACTTGACCCCCCCTCCCCCCCGTGACCTCCAGGCTACGTGGACATCGACCGCATCCCGGCGGGCGCGCGGGACATCGTTGTGGAGGAGGTGGAGGAGGCCGGAAACTTCCTGGCGCTGCGCAGCGACGCGGAGCCGGCTCGCTACTTCCTCAACGGCGGCTGGGTGATCCAGTGGCGCGGAGACTATGCGGCGGGAGGAGCCACCTTCACCTACTGGCGGCGCAGGAACCTGGAGAACCTCACGGCCGCAGGGCCCACGCGCGAGCCCGTTTGGATACAGGCGAGCGGGGCGGGGGGGGGGGGGGGTGGGGGGGGTGGAGCGGAGTGGGGGAGTGAGTAGTTGGGGGGAGGGAGCGGGGTGGATGAGTGGGGGGGGGAGCGGGGGGGGGTGAGTGAGTAGTGGGGGGGAGGGAGTGGGGTGGATGAGTGGGGGGGAGTGGGGTGGATGAGTGGGGGGGGGAGAGCGGGGGGGGGGGGGTGAGTAGTGGGGGGAGGGAGCGGGGTGGATGAGTGGGGGGGGCGAGTGGGGTGGATGAATGGGGGGGGGAGCAGGGGGAAGAGTGAGTAGTGGGGGGAGGGAGTGGGGGTGGATGAGTGGGGGGGAGCAGGGTGGATGAGTGGCGGGGGAGCGGGGGGCGAGCACGGGGGGGAGTGGGGGGGAACTGGAGGGGTGGGGGGTGAAGCAGATGAATATCTCACAACTACATAAGAGAGAGAGAACTGCGTGTGAATTGCATTGTCTTGAGTGGTCCATTTTTAGGCAACTGATAAATACTGGGCCTAGGGCTAGCAGTAGGCGCTTGTGTCAAGGTGAGTGCCAGGGCGAATGTTAAGGCCAGCGTCAGGAATAAGGCGAGCGGTGGGGCACCGTCAATCCAGCCGGTGTGGGACTCACTGTCAACCCTCCTCTCCGCTCCCACCACCACCTCTACCGCCGCCGGCCGCAGCTCCTGTTCCAGGAGTCGAACCCAGGCATCCGCTACGAGTACACGGTCCACCAGCCTCCGCACGGCGAGGGGGCGAGGCGGCCGCGGGAGTTTGCTTGGCGCTACGGGCCCTGGGGTAGCTGCACCGCGCCCTGCGGCAGAGGTGCGACCGCAGCAACCCGCACACAACCGCACGCAAAGCCGCACGCAACCGCAAGCAACCGCACAATCTTCGCCACCGTGTGTAGGCCAGACCGCCCTGTCCCCTCTCCTCCCGTCGTGAATCCTAATGACGGGGAAAGGTCGGTGAAATAAATAATAATAATAATTGACATCTTTAAGGCGCAATTCATCCCAGGATCTCAGTGTGCCAATGCACGAAGTTAGGAAATATAAAGAGTGCAAAGTCCAGGGTCCACTGATCACACATGGGAAGTGTAGGCCAGTCGAAACAGGTGAGTCTTTAGAGAAGACCTAAACAAGGTGAGTGACCTCGCCTGTCTGACCACAGGTGGCAGGACGCTCCGTAGTTTTGGCGCAGCGCAGATAAGTAGATAACAACAACAACAACAACAATGATACATCATGAAGTTTTGAGACGATGAGTAAGAGGCACTGCGGTGCGTTCGGTCCTCCGGAGAAGTGGGAGGGGATTTGCCAAACGCCAAAACCTTTCTTTCAAATTTTTCTTCTGAAGGGCAGTTTGCGTACATCTGCAATAGCGTTCGGAAACATCCCTCCACCGTCACAACACCGCAGCTCAATCCCTCCGCAGCGGAGTTTGCCCAAATCTCAATGAAAATAACAGCTGTCAAAAAATAAAAAATATCATACAGGACCCTACCACCGAACCTCCCGGTTTCAACCTTCCACGCCGCCAGTTGGTCGACCATCAACCGAATCAGGACCGGGTCACGTGGCCGATGCGGCCACCCAATTCCACAGATGGCGTATCAAAGATTTGGAGGCCTGTGAGCGGTGCTGCCAAAAATCCCAAAGCATCGACCCATCGTAAACACTTCACTCATTTAAAGGAGGAATGGACGATGATCCACTCTACTTCCAAACAGACGATTGAGTGGAAAACCAAATAAAAATAATAATTTATCTGCTGCTATTAATCCATTTCGAAAAAATAAGCCGCTTATATAACTTATCTAAGAATATTTAACATACATATTATTTAACGAAACATTTTAACATCTAACATCAAACATCCGCCCAAAACATCTGCAGTGCCTCCTAAATGTCCGAGATAATAATGCATTAATGAAACGCTGTCCTTAAATAATTCCTCCGTTAATGGGCTTGAGCGCCAGAGTTCATATCCCATGCTCAATCATTGCGAGTGTTTTATATCTTGAAATCAGCTTCAAAATCAGTTTGTACCCATCTTCTGCGCGCGTGCACGCACGTGCGCGTGAAGGGGTGCAGAGGCAGGAGGTGCACTGCACGGAGCGCACGGCGGGGCCCGTGGAGGAGCGGCTCTGCGACGACGTCCCCCGGCCCGACGACCGTCAGAGAGCCTGCAACGAGCACGAGTGCCCCGCTCGGTACCAACGCGCGCGCAACCCGTCCGTCCGTCCGTCCGTCCGTCGGTCCAGCCATTGCGAAATAATCATTGGTCTGTTTGAGGGTCCTCCGATAAATGGATCAGCAGACCGTACATCTGTCGGTCAGCTTTTTGATTTGTCCGTCTGCTGGCTCACTCGTCGGTCCATTTGTTTGGCCATCAGATGACACTGTTTGTCGGTGTATCCATTAGAAAATATATTTATTGGTGTGTTTATTCGTTCATCTATTGGTTAATTAGTCTCTCTGTTCATTTTCTTTGGGTCTTTCGGTAAAGTCACGTAGATAGGTTCAAAGAAAATAACACGTTTCGATCGCAACACGAGCGGCCGTCATCAGGAAAAGGGGGTTAGCTTCTAAAGGCAAATTGTTTATAAAGCTTTGAAATGGGCGTCAGCAGCATGGGCGGGGCAGCTAATGTTAATGTAGGTGGTGGGCGGCGACCGCAACGGTGGTGGGTTTTACAACAATTTATCGTCTGCCAGGTAAAAATTAGCATGTTATTGTAAGATCGGTGAGCGGCCTCCACGGCGAGCGAGCTGGGGTGGCTATGTTAATGTGAGAGATTCGCATGTTAATGGGAAGATCGCAGAGTCGCCGGCACCTCTAGGTCGGCGCACGAAAGTAACTTTGTTTGAGTGAGAAATTTAACTTATTAATGTAGAATCAGAGAGCTGAAAATAACAACTAACATTGGACGGTGGTAGGGTGAGAATATCACAGCCAGTTATGACTTAAACTGGTTGATAACATCCTTACAATGATTGCTCAGTTTGTACCCATCTTCTCGGTTGAAATTGTGTCTGTGTCTGTATATATGGATGGCATCATGAACGAATCTTTATTGATTGTTATATCTTTTGTTCCAAACATCTTTTGGACCATCCATCAGTCCATGCAAGCATGTGCGTCCATACCTCTGCGCGCGTGTGCGTGCGTGGAGTGGGGGAGCATCGGTCAGCGCACTGCGCTACAAAAAAACCACCGACCCAAGTTCAATCCCCGCTCACGATCACAATGGGCGCTCGCGAAAAGCACCTGCCCCAACGGCCTGTCAGAGGCCACGCGGGTGACCGTTGCCGTGCGTGCGTAGGTGGTGGGTGGGCGAGTGGCAGGGCTGCCCGTCGCCGTCGTGCGGACCGCGCCCCACCGCCGGCGCGTCCTCGGAGGAGACGGAGGAGGAGGAGCGGCGCTCCGTGCTGTGCGTGCGCGGCGTCGGGGCCGACGAGCACCGCGCGCTGCCCACGTCCCAGTGCGAGGGGCTCCCCCGCCCCCCCCACGCGCGGCCCTGCCCGGGGCCGCCGCCGTGCCCCACCCGCGGGGACGCTCCCGCTGGAGACCCGCGCGGCGCGTGGCTCGTGGGCGCCTGGTCTCCGGTGCGTCCGTCTCTCCCTTGCGCCCGTCTCCCCCTTGTGTCCGTCTCCCCCTTGCGTCCGTCTCCCCCTTGTGTCCGTCTCTCCCTTGCGTCCGTCTCCCCCTTGCGCCCGTCTCCCCCTTGTGTCCGTCTCCCCCTTGTGTCCGTCTCCCCCTTGTGTCCGTCTCCCCCTTGTGTCCGTCTCCCCCTTGCGTCCGTCTCCCCCTTGTGTCCGTCTCCCCCTTGCGTCCGTCTCCCCCTTGTGTCCGTCTCCCCCTTGTGTCCGTCTCTCCCTTGTGTCCGTCTCCCCCTTGTGTCCGTCTCCCCCTTGTGTCCGTCTCCCCCTTGCGCCCGTCTCCCCCTTGCGCCGTCATCATCGTCGGCCGCGGTCGATCCGCTGGCGGGTGACGGCGCCACCACAAGAGGCGGTGGCCAACCGCCTCTCGTGGTGTCACGCGACGCGACCCTCCGCCTCGCTCTGGCACAACGAGCCGATCTCGTTCCCTCCGGACACGGAGCGAACGGGGCTGGGAGGAAGGGAGGGGAGGGAGGGAGGGGAGGGAGGGAGAGAGGGAGGGTGGGAGGGGAGGGAGGGGAGGGAGGGAGGGAGGGAGGGAGGGAGGGAGGGAGGGAGAGAGGGAGGGAGGGAGGGTGGGAGGAAGGGGCGAGAGAGGGGTTTTGTTATCGCAAGGGAAGCCGCTCCAGGGAATTAAAGTTCTGCCCTGTCGTTTTCGACCGTTGGCTTCCAGTGTTCGGCGACGTGCGGGGCCGGCGTGAGGTCACGTGACGTCCGCTGTGAACGCCGGAGCGGAGACGACGTCTGCAACGAGGCCGATCGGCCCGCCGAGTGGCAGCGCTGCGACTGGAGGGCCTGCACCGAGCTGCCCCCAACCACCGGGCCCGCCGCCAACGGGACGGGCGGCAAGCACCACGGCGGTCCTCCCCAAGACGACGGCGGAGATGATGACGACGACGATGACGACCGTGGAGATGACGACGGCGAGATCGGCCGTCGTGAAGATGATGATGGCCGTGATGAAGATGATGGTGTAGGCACAGAATCTGATGATGGTGAACATCATGGAGGCAATGAGATTGATGACAATGATGGTGCCGATGAAGACTCTGACGAGGATCATGGTGAAGACAATGGAAGCGTTGAGGATGATCGTCATGAAGACGATGGTGATGACGACGATGAAGATAACCAAGACAATGAAAATGACCGTGATGATGAAGATAACCATGGTGAAGATGATAATGATGATGGCGGTCATGAAGATAATCACCATGGAGACCATGATCGCAATGCCAATGAACATCATGAAGACGATGACCACGATGATGATGATGATGACGATGGTGATGACCGTCAAGATGAGGACAACGAACGCCATGACACTGTCCACCGTGAAGACGACGACGACGATGAGGAAGATGTTGACCCAGACCGTGACGGAGGCGTCACCCCAGACGAACGCGACCACCACCAACGTGAAGAAACAGACGGCCGTGGCGACGAAGATGGCGAACGCAACGGCATCGACGGTGGACTCGCGGTCGACGACGATGACGACGACAACAATGATGTGGACGCTGAGCGCGACGTGGAAGATCAAGGAGGCGAGGTCCACGTGGACAGCAACGCCATCTTCATTCCAAACGACATCAAGCGGCTCAACCAAAACTTGCGCGGATCCTCCTCCTCCTCTTCCTCATCGCCGTCGTCCTCCGTGTCGCAAAGTGACGACGTGAGCGAGCGAGCAGAGCGGCATGACCCACCGGGTGAGCCACGTGGTCGACCTCCAACCTCCGCCACCTCCTCGTCCCCATCTGACGGGAGCGCTAACGCTAAGAAGAAGAACCTCATTGATATCTACTACTACGACTACAACTTCATCAGCTTCCACGAGGACCTCCTCTATGACCTGGACGAGGCTGGGACGGGCGTGACTCGTGACGGCCAACCCCAGCAGCCTGCCGACCAAACCACCGCCGCCGCCACCACCACCGCCACCACGGCCACCACGGCCACCATCGTCACCGCCACCAGCTCAGCTTCACTTCCACCACCACCGCCGCACCAACACCGCCACCGCACCACAACTGCAGCCGCACCACGATCACCACCATCGGACCACCACCACCACCCCACCACCGCACCGTCTGCACTGACACTGCACCAGCAGCAACATTCACCGGTTCGTATGACACCAAACCACCACCATGGCGCCAGTGCTGGCAATTTCCCCGCCACGTCGCAACCTCGCGCGGCAACCGAGACCGACAGCAATCGATCGGCAACTCGTTCGGAATCCCCGGACGACGCTGCTGTTGACGTCGCCACTCCGCCAGCCGAAACGGCGAGAGGGTACGGCGATCGCGCGACCACGACGGCCGGGCGGCAACCTGACCGCGACGGGCGGCGGCCCGTGGGGGACACCGTGTCGGACAACCGAGCGTCCAGCACGGCGAGTTCCCCGACTTTCACCGGAGCCACCGGACTGGCGTCGGGCGTCGCGGTCGAGCCAGGTGGCGGGGAAGCCATCGGCGACGCTGCTGCTGGAGATGGATCCTCGGAACGAGAGACGCCGGGAGAAGGCCGATGGGACGGCGGCGCCGGCGGCGGCCGCACGCTCGCGCCAACCGGCACAAAGTCGCCGATGCCAATCCACGATTTTGCCGACAAAGTTCCACGGGCCGGCGATGGCTTCGGTGGGAGCGCGGGTTCACTCGGCGGCCCCGGAGCCGGGCCCACGGCCGTGGGGGTCGTCCCGCCGGTGGACGCCGCTGCCGCCACCGTCGCCACCGCGGCCACGTCGGCACACGGGGCGAGAATCCGACCCGAGCTTCCAACGGTGCCGAGCGTGCCGCCGGGCTCGAGCCACGAACGCCGGCAGGCGCCGCCCCTCGCTGGAGGCCGAGGAGAGGGCGGCGTGGCAGCGTCGTCGTCGCCGGTGTCGTCATCGTCACCGTCGTCGTTGTCACCGCCGTCGTCATCTTCACCGTCGTCGTCGCTGCCGTCGTCATCTGCACCGTCATCGTCGTCGCTGCCGTCGTCGCCGGTGGCGTTTCCTGAGCGCGCGGGGGAGACGTCGCGGCGAGCGGAGGGGACGAGGCCACCGGAGGCCTCGTGGAGGGTGACGCCGTGGAGCGAGGTGAAGGATTTCTGGGAAGAACTAAAAAAAAATCACCGGATCGAGGTCAGAGCGCCGAGCCGGCACCGACGGGAGCCTGAGTTCGAATCCAGGCGGCCGCCTGTGAGACTCCGCCTGGTTCTCTTAGCGCAGCGAGTCGATGGTCGTGGCCTGGCCACCAACTACCGTGTGAGTTGATGTCGACGTGCGTGCAGCTCCGAGTCAGCGAGGCGCAGGGGCTCGTGCACCGCACCAGGGGCCCTGCGATCCGAGTTACAGGCGGGATCTTTAAGTGCGTGTGCCTGTGTGTACACGTGTGTGCATGTATGTGTGCGTGTGTGTGTGGGGGGAGTGGTCGTGTAGCGGTTAGTTCGCTGCGCTACGAACCTGGCGACCTGAGTTCGATTCCCGCATACGGCCAATACCAGCGACGATTAATTATCTGAACCGGTCCTGGGCCTCCCCTAGGTCGACTCAAATGAGTACCTGGTGCGGTGTGTAAAACATCGCCACTGGGGAGACAAATGCGGCCGGGCGTGGTGTTGGCCACCCACTCCCTCTTGTGCCGTGCCGGCCTTTATAGGTGCTTCCTAGCAGCACTTGCCCCTACAGTCTGTTAAAAGGCTATACGGGGGATCTTTGTCTTTGTGTGAATGTGTGTGTGTGAATGCATGTGCGTGCGCGTGCGTGCGCTGCAGTGCACGGCCACGTGCGGGCTGGGCGTCGCACGCCGGAGCGTGTGGTGTGCATCGAGGTCTCGGTCGGGGTCGGCTCACTGCGACTTCACCCAGAGGCCGCCCCCGGCGCGGCGCTGCTCCGTGCGGCCGTGCGTCGCCTGGCACGCCGGGAACTGGAGCGAGGCATGGCCCCACCCCCGCCCCCGCACGCGTCGCGACATCTTCACGCGACGTCGTGTGCCTGTCCTGGCTGCGGAGTACCGACTGTCGCTGCTCCCTGGCCCCGCGCCCCTGTGTCCCCGTGATTCCCTGACCTCGTGTCGCTGTCCCCTGTCTCCCTGTCCCCATGACCCCGTGTCTTTGTCGTCGTGACCCCGTGACCCCGTGCGACAGTGTTCCCGCCGTGGCTGCGGGCTACCACGTGAGCGATCGCGGGCCGTGCTGTGCGTGGACGCCCGCAGCCGTCGCTCCGTGCGGCCCCAGCTCTGCTTGGCGCTGGGCGGGCCCCGCCTCGCCACCACGGAGGGCGAGGGCTGCCCCCCGCTGCCCTGCCTGCCCTGGGCAACATCGGCATGGGGGCCGGTGAGGGCACGCCCGTGTCTGTGCGTGCGCCTGTAACGCCGGCACCGCGCAAGATCGGCCCCTGCGGAGGAGGCAGTCGCCCTCCAGCAGAGGAGGGGCGACGCTCACAACAACGAGCGGGGCGCCGGGTGGATAAAACGCAGCGAGTTGGCAAAGTGTGGACCACAGGCGGTGCATCAGCCAGTCATCTCAGTCAGTCAACCCATGGCACATGGGTCTGTCCCGTGACCTCCTGCCAGCGGCGAGCCATCGACACTTCACGTGGCCTCAAAATTGCACCTCGCCTGGCACGGGTGCCGTGTCACTTGGAGGCGAATGGCGGCGTCTGCTGCTGCTGTTGTTGTGTGCGCGTGTGCAGTGCTCGCGGACGTGTGCAGGGGGGGTGCAGCGTCGCCGCGTCTCGTGCCCCCATGCCGACCGCTGTGACCTCCGTGCCACCCCCAACGCCACGCAGGCCTGCAATACCCAGCCGTGCGTCACCTGGTCCACGGGTCCATGGGACAAGGTGGGCACCAACATCAATCCGCGCACATTGATGCACACAGACACACACATCTTTGCATGCACACTCCTGTACACAAAATACAAAGGTCCCCCATATAGCCTGAACACACGCTTGGGGCAAGTGCACTTCGCAAGCACTTACAAATGCCCTAGTGGTGATGTTTACATCGCACCAAGCGCTAATTTCAGGCTGATTCGACCTAGGGGATGCCCAGGACCGGTGCTGACAATCGTCACTGGTGTTGGTCGTGAGCGGGAATCGAACTCAGCTTTTCCGTGGTTCGAAGTGCAGCGTGCTAACCGCTGTACTACCCCTCCCCACGCACCTATATACACACACACAGATGTCTGTACACATACAGAGATCTCTGCATAACCATCTGCACATATTTACAGACACCTACACTCACACGCGATACACATTCACACCCCTCGAGCACCTGCTAAGGTCTGCACAGCACACGAGCGTGTGGTGTAGCCAGCAGCACGATTCCCACCCACCTTTATCTCCCCAGGGATAATTTTTATACATCGCATCAGGTACTCAATCATGGCTGAGTCAAGCTAAGGAAGGCCCCAGTATTGGCTCGGATATATTTCGCCAGTGATGTTAGCCATGGCCAGGTATTGTGTCTGTGCGTGTGTGTGTCTCTCTCTCTCTCTGTGTCCCTGCGACGCTCACAATAACGAGCAGAATTCCAGGCGGCAAAAAATGCAACAAGTTTGGCACAGTTTAGGGGGGTTACAGCCGGTGCATCCGCCAGTCATCTCAGTCAGCTAACCCATGGCAACTGGGTCTGTCCCGTGACCTCCTGTCACCAGCGAGCCTTTGACAATTCACGTGGCCTCAAAGTGCACCTGGCCTGGCACAGGCTCTGTGGTGACGTCACCGTCACTTCGTGGCGAATGGCGGGCGTTGGTATTGGTGGTGGTGGTGTGTGGGACATTAAATGCCTCCTGCAGCAACATTCATTTCAATAAATCTCTCTCTCACAACCATATACATTTGTCCACTCATGTCAGCGTATCTAGTGGCGAACGGCAGGTACTGGTATTGGTCAGTTTAACACGTGGTTAACACGTGGTTGGCCTTTGCGACCAATATCATCCATAATAGAGGTTTTTGGGTTAGATCGCGTGGATATATAAATGTGTTGTTAAACCCGCCACCACCCGACACAGCCTAATGTACGTTGCCTAAGTAATCTCCCCCCCCCCCCACATTGTGCACAAGCGCAGAAGTGTGGTCACCACATCTACGCCTCTATATAAGGAACTAAACAGGTGGACTTCTCCACAAATCTGGCTGTCGCCTGATGAAGCCGGTTGTAATTACTGGCGAAACGTCGTTACTCAGATTGTAAATGTTGTGGCTTGGCTCTCCAACACACTGGTGTGCTGTACTAGTATACTACACTATACACTACACTACACACTAGTGCTGTACTAGTATACTACACTATACACTACACTATACACTTCACTATACACTAGTGCTGTACTAGTATACTACACTATACACTACACTACACACTAGTGCTGTACTAGTATACTACACTATACACTACACTATACACTAGTGCTGTACTAGTGCCGAATTGGCCACGTTCTGTTTACGTGACAACCCTTACCAGTTGGCTGTGTCGGGTGGTGGCGGGTTTTGACGACACATTTATATATTCACGCGATATAACCTCAAAAACAAAAAAAACCTCCGTCATGGATTGGCGTTGGTCCCTGCGTCCCCGCGTCTCCCCGTGTGTCGCAGTGCTCGGTGAGCTGCGGCGTGGGAGTTCAGAGCCGTCCGGTCAGCTGTGGTCACGCGGAGGAGGAGGAGGAGGACGAGGAGAGGAGGGCGCAGGGGGGGCGGCGTGCGTGGCCGTGCGAGGGTCATGCCCGGCCGCAGTCCGAGCGGCGCTGCGTCGCGCACGCGTGCTCGCAGCCTGGCACGTGGACCGGTGAGCGCGGCGACGCGCGCACGACGGAACTCCTCGCCGATGCTCAGCGACACGCGCCGGCTTTCGCCGATACTCCCGTACACGCTCGCCAAGACGCGCCGATGTCCTCCGATTCCCTCCACCCGCACACGCTCACCGACACTACGCGTGGGTTACTTGACACCCCGGGGACACCCTGATACCCTCGTGAAAACAAACGTTCCGTCTCGTGGATTTCCAGGCGAAATATTTTTTAACGCTAAAATTATTATTCGGACGCTCTGACTTCGTAGCCACCCCGACGAACGATTGCTGATACACTTCGTCGCCAAACTTTCTTTGTCACTGTGGTGACAGCCCCGATGTCGCTGTTTTGCAAAGCGAAGGCTGTAATTATGGTCTTCTAACTTGTCGCCCGTTAAAAACAAAAACCACTAAACCTGCTGGAAACTTGAAGAGGAAGGATGGATGGGTAAGGAGCGGAGGAGCGGGAGCACAGGGCCAGGGGAGACGAGGAGAGGGTGGAGGAGGGAGAGGCTGCGTCAGGGCCTCCACGCTGCTGCTGCTGCTGCACGGAGCGGCGTCTGTTCTCGCAGCGGGCGGTGTGAGGGGGAGTGGCTCAGAGTGGGGGTGGCCACTCGCAGAAGTCACGTGATTCACGGGATGCCCGAGCTGATTTAAATACAGAGAGAGCTGTGACGCGTGTGTGTCGTGGGGGAGGGGGGGGGGAATCAAACTTGACGAGCCACGAAAAGATCTTCGTGCAGAAAGCGGGCGGCTTTCGCCGCGTGGATGGAACGAGGGCGAGTTACTAAAATCGCTCCGTCGCCTTCGGTGGGGAGGTGACCCAGCGCTACCAAGAAGAACAAGAAGAAGTAGCGATATCGATAGGAGACCCGTCGCCGTTCGCCAAGCAGAACCCGGCACCGATGTCGGCTCCCGGCCCAGACGCCAGCTTTGTCCGCTGTGCGGTGCGGGGGGTAGGGACGTCGTGTTTGAGGTTGTGGAGTTGGCTTCGGGGTGGACGATGGAAGGGTTTTAATCCTCCCTGCGTGTGTGTGTCCGCGTGTGTGCGCGCGCGTGTGTGCGTGCTTGCACGTGCGCTGCAACAAAAAAAAGCACACCTGGTCAAATATTTACGTTTCAAACGAAAAAAAAATGCCGCAAATCAACAACCGCGTGAACGGGGCGCCGGCGCCGTGCGGGCGCACGCGTGCAGTGTGCCAGCTCGGGATAGACCCCGTCCAACCGACTCACCAGCCCTCTCGTGGGGGGGGGCTCTAGACCCCGTCCAACCGACTCATCAGCCCTCTCGCGGGGGGGGGGCCCTAGACCCCGTCCAACCGACTCATCAGCCCTCTCGCGGGGGGGGGCCCTAGACCCCGTCCAACCGACTCACCAGCCCTCTCGTGGGGGGGGGCTCTAGACCCCGTCCAACCGACTCACCAGCCCTCTCGTGGGGGGGGGGGGGCTCTAGACCCCGTCCAACCGACTCCCCAGCCCTCTCGTGGGGGGGGGCTCTAGACCCCGTCCAACCGACTCACCAGCCCTCTCGTGGGGGGGGGCTCTAGACCCCGTCCAACCGACTCATCAGCCCTCTCGCGGGGGGGGGGCCCTAGACCCCGTCCAACCGACTCATCAGCCCTCTCGCGGGGGGGGGGCCCTAGACCCCGTCCAACCGACTCACCAGCCCTCTCGTGGGGGGGGGGCTCTAGACCCCGTCCAACCGACTCACCAGCCCTCTCGGGGGGGGGGGGGGCTCTAGACCCCGTCCAACCGACTCACCAGCCCTCTCGTGGGGGGGGGCTCTAGACCCCGTCCAACCGACTCATCAGCCCTCTCGCGGGGGGGGGGCCCTAGACCCCGTCCAACCGACTCATCAGCCCTCTCGCGGGGGGGGGCCCTAGACCCCGTCCAACCGACTCACCAGCCCTCTCGTGGGGGGGGGCTCTAGACCCCGTCCAACCGACTCACCAGCCCTCTCGTGGGGGGGGGGGGCTCTAGACCCCGTCCAACCGACTCACCAGCCCTCTCGTGGGGGGGGGGGCTCTAGACCCCGTCCAACCGACTCACCAGCCCTCTCGTGGGGGGGGGCTCTAGACCCCGTCCAACCGACTCACCAGCCCTCTCGTGGGGGGGGGCTCTAGACCCCGTCCAACCGACTCACCAGCCCTCTCGTGGGGGGGGGGCTCTAGACCCCGTCCAACCGACTCACCAGCCCTCTCGTGGGGGGGGGCTCTAGACCCCGTCCAACCGACTCACCAGCCCTCTCGTGGGGGGGGGGGGGCTCTAGACCCCGTCCAACCGACTCCCCCGCCCTCTCGTGGGGGGGGGGGCTCTAGACCCCGTCCAACCGACTCACCAGCCCTCTCGTGGGGGTGGGGGGCTCTAGGCCCCGTCCAACCGACTCACCAGCCCTCTCGTGGGGGGGGGGGCTCTAGAACCCGTCCAACCGACTCACCAGCCCTCTCGTGGGGGGGGGGGGGCTCTAGGCCCCGTCCAACCGACTCACCAGCCCTCTCGCGGGGTGGGGGGGCTCTAGACCCCGTCCAACCGACTCACCAGCCCTCTCGCGGGGGGGGGGGGGGCTCTAGACCCCGGCCAACCGACTCACCAGCCCTCTCGTGGGGGGGGGGGGGGCTCTAGACCCCGTCCAACCGACTCACCAGCCCTCTCGCGGGGGGGGGGGGGGCTCTAGACCCCGGCCAACCGACTCACCAGCCCTCTCGCGGGGGGGGGGGGGGGCTCTAGACCCCGGCCAACCGACTCACCAGCCCTCTCGCGGGGGGGGGGGGGCTCTAGACCCAATCCAACCGACTCACCAGCCCTCTCGCGGGGGGGGGCTCTAGACCCCGTCCAACCGACTCACCGGCCCTCTCGCGATATCCGCACGCGCGCCAGCAGCCTGGTCAGCCGAACCTCTCGACGCCGGAGCTTTCGAGAGAGGGGGCGAGGGAGGGAGCACGGCCACCGTGGGCAAAGCCAGGTCGGCGACCTTGGTGCAGTTCTCGTTTCGTGTGGACGACCTCGCCTCCACCGAGGACAGTGCGGGGGGGGGGGGGGGCGCGCGGGGGGGGGGGGGGGGGCGCCCGCACGCTCCGTCAGCGGCGACCTCGTGCTGCCTCGTCCCCGGACAGGAATTACCGACGCGACTTCCACTGCTCCGGGTTCACCTGTTGCGTCACCTCGTGCGCTTCTCTTGCGGTTATTTCAGGGGGGGGGGGGGGCCCTAAAATGTTTTTCAGTCCCCCGTCCCCACCCACCACCTTTCACCTCGCGCTGCCGTTCCTTCGAGGCCGCACGCGGCCGCTGACTCGCAAACTCGGTGCGGGTCGTCTCTCGTGAGCGACGCGGGCGCTAATGACAACCCCCAAGGCCGTAATTTCTCCTCTCGCCCTCCCCGTTTTGCCGCACGCCACCGCCGTCGCCGTCTGACCGCGCCGCCGCGCTGCCCGGCCCAGGAATTTTTATGATTAAAATTCCTCGCCGTGCCGGGCGAGACGGAACGCGAGGCACCTTTCTCCGCGAGCGGACAAAGGTGCCCTTTATTTGCACGCGGGTAGGCCGGCCGGCCGGCTGGCCGGCCGGCCGCTGCGTCGCGCCGAGCGATATTGCGTCCGTGAATCGCGCGTTGTCTCATCACGGTCTGCCTCGACCGCGCACTTCTGCTCGGACTCCCCAGCTCGTCATTTACGACGCTGAGCGGGTGGGAGGTGCTCGCGGCTTGGGGAAGGCCTTCATCCAGCGGTGGATTGACCATGGCTGATGATGATGATAAATATATTCAGTAATGATTGCTTGCATATTGGACCCATGCCGCAACTGAAACGTCTCGGAGCGCGTTTCTTTTTTTTTATATTTATATTTAGCCAAAGGGGAGTCCCTGATGGCAGATGTCCCTGCGGAGCGCAAGGCGAGAAACCAGCAGGCATGCGAGAGGACGTTTGGCCTTTCAGTCGGTGACTCCTGGAGCGTTGAGGCATTGGCGTTCGTCTCCCGTTCACAGCCCTGACCCCGCTAGCGGTAGTGGTCGTGGCGGAACAAAATATCAAACAACCTCCACATTCCTATGGCGGGGACAAGTCTATGAGTTGGGGGACTCGTTTTATGGACTTCCCCTCCCAGAGGGTTGATGGGTGACTGAGTCCACCACCGGCGAGGATTTGAAGTCGGGAACTTTGCATATTGTGAGCCGCTCTTTTGCTAACTCCCCCCCGCCTCCACCTGGGTAATGTGATGATGTTGTTGATGATGATGGTGTTGATGATGATGGTGTTGATGATGATGGTGTTGATGTTGTTGATGATGGTGTTGATGATGATGGTGTTGATGATGATGGTGTTGATGTTGTTGATGATGGTGTTGATGATGATGGTGTTGATGATGATGGTGTTGATGATGATGGTGTTGATGATGATGGTGTTGATGATGATGGTGTTGATGATGATGGTGTTGATGTTGTTGATGATGGTGTTGATGATGATGGTGTTGATGATGATGGTGTTGATGATGATGGTGTTGATGTTGTTGATGATGGTGTTGATGATGATGGTGTTGATGATGATGGTGTTGATGTTGTTAATAATGGTGTTGATGATGATGGTATTGATGATGGTGTTGTTGATGATGATGTTGATGATGATGGTGTTGATGATGATGGTGTTGATGTTGTTGATGATGGTGTTGATGATGATGGTGTTGATGATGATGGTGTTGATGATGATGGTGTTGATGTTGTTGATAATGGTGTTGATGATGATGGTGTTGAGGATGATGGTGTTGTTGATGATGGTGTTGATGATGATGGTGTTGACGATGATGGTGTTGATGATGGTGTTGAGGATGATGGTGTTGTTGATGATGGTGTTAATGATAATGGTGTTGACGATGATGGTGTTGATGATGATGTTGATGATGATGTTGATGATGATAGTGTTGACGATGATGGTGTTGACGATGATGGTGTTGATGTTGTTGATGATGATTGTTTTGATGATGGTGTTGATGATTCGGGGGATTCAACTGAGACAGCTGGACGAGGGGCGGGGGGGGGGGATTCACCCCGCACCTGTGACCCCTCCACCCGGCACCCAGCGCGTTCTCACGCCCGGCCCAGGCGGGGAGACCAGACGCAGCCTCTCTGTTGCCATGGCGATAGCCGCACGGTGTCCCCGCGTGTAGAGGGTGGAGTGGGGTTACAGCGCGGCGCTGATTCCTCCCTCCTCCTCCCTCCTCCTCCTCCCTCCTCCCCCTCATCCCCCCTACTCCCCCTCCTCCCTCCTCCTCCCCCGTATCCCCCCCTTCCCCTCCTCTCTCCTCCTTCCCCTCCTCCACCCCCTCCTTCCCCCCCTTCCCCTCCTACTCCTCCTTCCCCTCCCTCCTCCTTCCCCTCCTCCTCCTCCCCCCCCTCTCCCCCCCTCCTCCTTCCCCTCCCGACTCCTCCCACAATCCGCCTTCGCTCCGTCTCTTCGTTCTCTCTCGACGTTCACGGTCCTCTTTCATTCCCTCGTTTTATTTCATTCTCCGACTTGTTTTTCGCGCTCTACGATTCATCAAATTTCTCTTCTCTCATTCGTCACTGTTTTTGTTCATCCTCCGTTCTCGTATTTAATCATTCCCTTTCACTCTGCGATGTTACAATTCTGTTTTTTTTATTATTAAATCTCATCCCCTCCCTCTTCTTTGCCCCGTCTCCAATTCCCTCTCATTCCCTCTCATCTCACTGCGTCGTCTTTCCTTCTCAGTAACCCGCCCCTCTCTCACCTCCCCCCCCCCGCCCCACGTTGTCACCCCCCCCACCCCCCAGGCCCCCAAGCGGGACGCGGCTGCGTGCGTGAGCGCCTCTCGGCCCCGCTGTGCCGCACCCTGCGGGCGCTGGGCCGCTGCTCCCTGACGTCCGTCGCTGCGCAGTGCTGCCGGTCGTGCGCCGTGGACGGGCGGGGAGGGGAGCGAGGGGAGACGAGGGGGGCCGGCGGAGCGAGCTAAGGGGGGTGAGAGAGGGGGGAGGGGGCACGGCGATTCTTCCGGGGGCGACGGCAGAAGCGGGCCCGGGTGGCCGGGGTTGGGGGGGGGGCACCGAGGAGACGAGGTGGGGGGAGGACGAAGAATGAAGAGGCGGGTGGGTGATGTCGCTGTGTTGTGTTGATGTGTTGATGGTCATGAGCCCAGCCGATGGTTAGCCGCTGTGGATGTTTTGTTGTTGTTGTTGACCTGGAGGCGATTGTGACGTTAGGACTCGGAAGGTGATGGTTGACGGAGGCGGTGATGGAGGTGGTCTTCGGGAGGGCCGTGGTGGTGGTGCTAATCGGGAGGTGATGTTGGCCTCTGGGCAGGACACGCGGGCACCGTGTCCACCGCTTTGCGTGTTGGCGTTAATTGCGTTCAGTAAAACCATCGTTGCCTGCCTCTCATAAATAATCACCGTCGTCGTCGTCGTCGTCACCGTTATTTTAATTGTCTCGTGAAACAACGTGTCTTTCACGTTTTATTTGTGACTCAGAGTCGCGATTCAAAGAGGGGAGAGAGCGCGCGCGTAAGTCGCTCGCGCTCACACGAACAAACACCTCCTCGCCTTTCTTGAAAAAACGTGACGCCCTTTCTTGACAAACACCACACACTGTGTTGCACAACCACTCTCGTCCCCGACGTGGACAAAGCAGTCGCGCGGCCACGGGTTTCAGGTTTTACGCGCGGACTTCGAGACAGCGATTGAGGGGTCGCGCGACTCGCCGCTCACGATAGGTCGGGCCGGCTCGGTTAACCCAAACCTATCAACCACTTATCAGTGCCCTACCTTATTGCATAACAATTCAGACCTTATTGGTCACCCCGTGCCCCTTATAAGTCTCAACGTTCATCCTACAAAGTCCCATGACAAGGGAGAAACACAAAAACGACTTTACAATTTATTTTAGATTTTTACTCAATTTCCCTGCACAAGAATACGGGTGTGTGGCATGGCAGGTGTGGGTTACCGGTTCACCGGAATCCGGCCGAGCTGATTCTACTTCAGGACCGCTGTCTTTCTATGCAAGCCGTGCACTTCACTCTTCCCTGCGTCTTACGCCGACCAACGGCGGCTCGACCCCCACCGAGGAGGGTTTATTTTTTGTGATGCAACCCAACGCGGCTGTTGTATTATTTTCTGTTTGTTGGCGTTTCATTCTCGAGTTTGGCAGGTGGGCGATCCGTCACGTTGACGGCAATCCAAGCAAGTGGTGAAAGTGTCGTGACCAGATGACCGGTGGTCATCGGAGGCCGCGGGCATCCGGGATCGACGATAATTTTGTCCCGGCAGCAGACCAAAACCCCTGACGCCAAAATTTCTCACAGGTCCCGTCGGGGTAAACACCGTGCAGCGGGTCAGCCGTAGGGAAAAGTTCAACGGGGGAAGAGAGGCGGCGGCAGATTTGCGGTGCGCATGGATTCCTGGCCGGCCGAATCCTCGGACTGGCCGCATTAAAACGCGGACGAGGCGGCTGCCCTCGTGGGTCTGCCGGTGCCATTGGCCAGCACACATGGTGCGAGTCAGCCTCCTTGTCGCTTATCGAGGGATACTTTTATAGCCACGTGGGAGGGGAGGGACGGGTTTGGGGGGGGGGGCAGGGGGATATTTGTCAAGCACACTATATTTAATTGTTTATATTTATTATTGTATTGTTTTCAACATTATTGATGAACGAGCAATCTTAATTGTAATCCGACGATTGGTGCTATGCCTTTTTTTTAACACGAGATCTCACGTGAGCAAATGTAAAGGCTCACCCATGGGTTTTTTTGTTGTGTGTCAAAGGGGGCGGTGTGCACTGTGCAATATCATCAGGTACGTTTTAAAGCGACATTCGCGGTGTTCTTGTTCATTGTATTTCTTTACATAAACTGACTGGGTCGCTGCAACAAACAATCCACCCAACTTGATTCCAGTCCGAGTAGTCTGGTGGTCCGCAGGCCGACTGAGCGGACGAAGATTTCACTCTCGGCCCCATTCCCGCATGCCCCCCCCCCCGCCGCCGACGAGCAAAGTCAATCACGCGACAAATTAGTCGAGCAGGGATCGTGATTTGGCTGCAGCAAAAATAAAAATAAAGTTAAGGCCCACTGAGATTGTATAGCAAAGCGACTTGGCTATCACAAATGATAGCAAAGTCGCTTATCACGTGGACATTTTATCCTTATGGCGGTACACCGGGGTACCAAATAATACAAAATGACCAAGGCAATTAAATACTTTATTTCTGGGAAACTTCTTTTCCAGGGGTGTTAGGACTCCGCGACTGGGGTTACCAATCAATCCGAAATCGGCGGTGCTACTCTGTGATGTCGAACCGCCAAACATCAGCATAAAAAAAAATCCGTTATCGAAAAATGCAAATTTGAATAGTTGCATCGTGTAACAGGTCGTCGAGACGAGCCGATTGCCGCATCGCCGACCATCGACAGACTAAAAATGACTGCGTCACGGGCATTATGCGAGAGCCGGGGTTCTGTGGTACCCTGGGGTACAGCCATGAGGTTCATTTACTGCAGCCAAAGGCTCTCTGAAGGCGTGACGTTGATTATAAATGTGAAGGGGGGGCACACGCAAAAAAACCACACAAACCGAAGGCAATGACATCGCGACGATCGTGGTATCGTGGATGTCAATATCGTATCGCGATAAATGGTGTCACGATAAACCAAGCCCTGTACAGGAGAACTCTTATCCGCGGCCCTGTCACCCGCCACTCCTATTCGTGGCAGCTGTAGGGTCCGCGAAAACTCCTATTTACCCGCGGCTCCCAGTTCTTTCAGTTATCCGCGATTTTACCCATAATGCAAAGCTAGGCTGTTTAATACTCACGGATAAGAGGGGTCGAATAGAGGAGGTCACTCCTATAACCCGCGATTTTTAACCGCCGTGGATAAGAGTAAAATCTCGAAATATAATCGGATCCGTGACATCGGGTTGCCCATATCACTGCAGATATGAGGGATCCTCATCCGTGAGACCGTTGATCTCTTTCGGGCGAACGTCGTCGTTATCTTGAACCAAAGTGGTGCTTCAGTGGACATCGCATTGCGATGTGGTCCTGAGCTTTCTTGTGCACTATCACAATTGCTGTCATCGTCATCAGCAGCATCATCATCGGTGGTGATGGTGGTGGTAGTGGGCTATTGGGGGTCCGAAGCAGAAATAGTTTTAATGCACCCCCCCCCCCCCTCCCATACCCTTTAAATGTGTACAGAAATCTTCGTGAGATTAACAAAAGAGATGGAGATGTAGCGAGATGTGAGCCGAGAGCTCTCGTAGACGAGAGACGCATCCGCTTGCACGTCGAATGAGCCGGTTACGTTCGTCAGGAGTTGAGCTGATGTTCGGTGCACGCACCTATTATAATACGAATTTTTATATTAATTATGGAGCTCCCGTTCAGCTTCCTCGGGGCTCGTAAGCTGTTTGTCTGATTGCTCGCGCCCAGCGCCGATTTATCGTGGTCGTCGCTGCTGTTAACCGCTACGTCGCCACTGTTGTTGTTGTGATGGTGATGATGAGGGGCTCCTCCAGGGCGAGGCGTGGAGGGAATCTAATTTTCATGGACTGGACGCGCGTGGGATCCGGTGTTTGGTGCTCGTTCAGTTCGCTTCAAAAAACGCAGTCTCGCCCCCCCCCCCCCCCCCCCCCACCAACAAAAAACAAAACAAGAAACGCGTTTCCAAGCAGAAAACTTTGAAGAGCAGCAGCTGCTGCGGCGGCAGCGGCGGTAGCGGCGGCGGCGGCGCGCGTGAAGACTGTCGATGCTCAAGACGGTGCTCAAAACGGTGCTCAAGTTTCACGCAATAAACTGCGCATGGTGAAGCGTCACGCAATCGTCTGCCGAGTCTTCGTTGGTCGTCGCCGCGGTGGGGGGGGGGGGGTGGGGGGTTTGCGCGAGCCGCTGTTTGGTTTTTAACCGGAGGTGTGAATTGAAGAGGGCAGGTCGGGAGAGGATGGTAACTCGCAACAAGTGAGTGAATGAATGAACGAGACGACGGAACGCGTTGGCCTCCGACAATAAGACAATCGGAATCTTTAGTTGCAGCGGTTCTTCGTCTTCTTAACCTGTGGGTGCGAGATGCCCTTTAGGGGGAAGGGGGGGGGGGGGGCGAGACAGGACCAGATCTTTTTTTTAGAAGCTAAATCATCGAAAGCACGTTAAGTACAACTCGCTTTGTTTCATCAAAGCCGATGCATTCATTAACATTTCACATTTTTTTTGGTTTACCGATTGAGAACCAAACGGACGCGAGGCCGTAGGTGAGGTCAGGAACCACTGCTTTGGTGATATTTAAATCTGCCGCTGAAAACTCACCCCCTTGAACGTGGCCCTTGCCCCCCACAGTTTCGGCCGCTGTACGCTGCCCGGCTCTGTCGAATTCCCGCTGCTTTGCGTACGCGGTGGCGGCATTTGTGATCCTGGGATGCAATGCGCCTAACACGAAACATAAACACCGCTTGTGACTGTTCCCGCGCTGAAACAAGGAGGCGTTAAGACGTTTAAACGTCAAATAGCTTTTGCAAGGAATCGATTACTGCAGTGACCACACGCAGCACGCGTGGCGGCTTCGGGATGGGGGGTGATTTAGGGGGGGGGCGGGTTCGGGTTGGGGGGGATTTAGGGGGGGCGGGGCGACTTTTAGGCGACTCAAGCAGGTGGCTGCCCTCTAAGCGGCGCTATCAACGTGTCGCCGTGACCCCCCCCCCCCCTCCACCACCACGGCTTTAGAAGACAGCGGGGGGGGGGGGTCTTTGTGTGAACCGGGTAGCAGCGTGCACCCCCAGGGGGTAGGGGAGAGGGGGGGGGGGCGTTGGGCTCCCCTAACAAGACGGGACCTTTAGTCTCAACCGCCCCACGGTCACGTCCCTCCCCACCTGCCCTCGGGGTAGTTGCGCGCTCTGTACGCAGCACACAGCGGTAGTGCAGCGGTCGACTGAGCCTCAAATGAGTGCCCGGTGCGGTGTGTAGTAA